ATGGCGCGGCATGGCTGTTGAGTTAGAGGAGAGGTCAGGTTATTTTCCTCAGGACAATGTGTTGTGCATGCTCTGTGTGTCCCCCAGTCACTGGTTTGATTTATCTTCTTGGTGAGCACAGGGAACACCCCAGAAGTCTTTTTACCCTTGCCAAGATTAAATGAGCACCTTTATACTTCTGATCCCCAAAGGTATTTCAGCCTCAGGGCTTTGAAAAAAATCAAAAGCTGTTGCATGTGGGAGCTCAGTGGGGAGGGTTCCTTTTGCTTCCTGGACATGTGGCAATAAATATCAGTGACATTTCATGCCAGGCTATGCCACATTACCCAGCAGGCAGTGGGAGATAATGCTTTTTTTGCCTGTATAACTGGTTGGGTTAATGTCCCTCCTTGAGGTCTAAAATACATAGTGGACAGTTTTGCTAAAAGTGAGGCACTGTCTTCAGGTGGGTGCAGTCATGAGATTGCTCCAGGTGCTTGAGGAAGCCTCAGAAACTCCATAGTGTTATAAATGATCAATTGAAAGCCAAATTATCAAAAATGTGAAAAGATTTTATTTTCCTTTTTCTGTGACCAAAATACGGTCCTCGAAACAGCCAAAGAGACAGTGTCAAGCCCGGGATTGGCGCTGGGTGAACCTGGATCCGACCCCTATCGCATCAGATCTACCCCCGTTCACGAGCGCTGCTTTTTGCAGGGCTGTTTTATACAGTTTTTTATGCCCGAGACAGAGAAATCCCAGTTTCTTTTGTAACTCTGCATATTCAAGACAGTTTCTTTCACTGTGCAGAGCTGGACAATCGCTGTTTCCTGGTTGATAGCCGGTGTTAGTCACCTCGTCGAGTATTCAGATGTATCTTTCTGGGGACTCCTGCTATCTTGATTGATGGTATCAACAGGGTGATGATTGTCCTTGGGCATCTTCTGATCACTCGGGATAACGGTGATCATTGTGCTGGCCATGTCTATTCATAAGTTAACTGAGTGTTGTTCTCCTGCCACCTTCAGGAATCTTAGAATTCAAGTTGATGTCTATCTTTGGGCTGCTTGTGGTCAGAGACTTGTTTGGATTTCACAATCTTATAAAATACATCCTCTCTATAAAGCATGAATTATTTCATAACATATATTACAACAGGGATGTGCTTTCTTCTGACCAACTTTGAGCAGGTACTGGATCCACTCAGCAGCAGCATAATTTGATGGTGTGGATGTCTCATTAAGCTTCCTAAGTTGCACTCCTCACTCCACTTTACCGAGGACTGGATGTGGGATCAGCATATTGAGCTTTCAGTCTGTTTTAAATTGATGAGCTCACTTGGGTTCACAAAAGTTTTGCCAAATGCTGTCAAGTTTGCCATGTTTTGTTGTTGCATGGTCATGCTGGTTTGAAAGTAAACTGGTGTGTCAAATGAACCCCACTCAACAACCTTAAGAGAGATTACAGGTCAGAGTTAAAATTTATTAAAGAGATTACAATAAATACAATAATATAGAGAAAAGTGGTTTTAACCCACAATGACTGAATACAACCTGGCACCCTGTTGGTCAGGGTGATCGTACCAGTCCTGTTGAAGTTCTGGTCCTCCTCTAAATCTATCAAGTGGTGGTGCCAGAAGTTCCCAGGCCTAAAGATTTTATACACTCGTGTTTGTTAGGAAAATTAATCCACAACGCCAGAGGTTTATGTCGGAAAAGGACACAGAGGAGTCCTGTAGCTTTATTCATGAATGAAGGGGGAGATAATGGGGCATTTTCGATAAGGTCTCTCAAAATGATGGAGGATGCAGCCTCCTTTTTATCCTGATTTCCCAGCCAATTTTCCCTCTCTTTTTCCCAATTGGCTGAGGTACTTGAGAAGTACAGACTTCCCTAATGGCCTAATACAGACCCCCTTCCAATGCGCACACCCAACAACCCCAAGCCCCCACCCCTCTTTTCTTTATATCTCTGTTCTGTTTCTCTAAGTCCAAGAAGTTAGCAAAGCTTGGGTGAGCAACAGTGTCAATTGGTGGAATTCCTCTGGAATTTATGTTTCTTCCCATCGTTTTTTTCACCTATTGATATCTGGCCTTATCTACAAACAGGTCCACAGTTTGTAAAGACACATCCCTCTCATTCCTTTCAGGTTCATGTGGGGATGCTCAGTACCTCCCTCAGGGTGGAGAGTTTCACAATTCATGAGGTAACACTGTGTGAGTCATGGGATATTTTGAGAGTCTAAGTGTTGCAGCTGCCCATACTGCTGTCCCATTGAGTCCTTTATGGCCCATTAGTAGAGATGACCCCTCAGGCTCTCACCTCACAATCTGGGTGTAACTGTGCTGATGTTTCCTCGGTGGGAGTTATCACAGCTGAGTCATTGGCATGAAGAAAAAGGAACTCTGCCCTATGTCACAGGGTTTGCCTCTCCTTCTTATTTAACACCCGGCTCTTAGGCCTGAGGGGTTGGGTGTGCATTGGGCAGCTCCTGCAAATGATCCATCATCAACAGGTCATCAGAAATGAAGTAGAGGGGCATGGAATACACCTGTAGCTAGGACAGTGGTAAAGCTGCATCCTCCTACAACATGGAGTATGCTTCATGTAGAGATAATTCATGCTATATATGTATAAAATATTGTAGAATCCAACGTATGTCTTTGACCACCCTGGCTGGGGGCAGAGTCTTATGTTTATTCAAGTAGTTCCTGGACAATGTTAAGATAATATCAAGTCTGTTAAGGTATGAATGAAACCTTCCCGGGCCATGATTGCTGACTTCCCTGGAATGCCTAAGCCACTCACAAGGACATGCACCTGGGAAGGTTGCATCTACCATACTCAAGCACCGGCGCCACTCTGCTACATGTGAATGCAGACTCTTCTGAAGTGTTCAGACATCCATCTAGACACCTGGACTTACTTTTGTCTATTCCTGCACATGTATGGCTCCAGTTCTACATATGAAGAGACACAAAGGAACATTCAGTCATTTCTGCCCCAGGCAGAATAAACTGTATGTAAGCTGGCTGCATGGAGCAGTCGGTGTGAACCTCTGGGGAGACGCTGACACTTTGTTGGTCGGATCCAGGTTCACCCAGCGCCGATCCCGGGGTTGATGCTGCCTTGGCTGTGGTGGTTTTTTTCGGAATTCTATTTTTGTTAATGATCTAATAAATCATTGTTAAATTTTCTTATAAATTTGGCTGCCGATTTGATAATTTATAACACTTCACCAACATGTACATGCTTCACCAACATGCACAACATACAGCATGCTTCCACCACCCCCAGCACTGCTTTTCAGGTGGTCCAGGAAGTGCTTGTGCAAAAGGGGAATAAAGGGAATATCTGCAGGGCCTGGTTTGAAGCAACTGGCATTACACAGATATGATTCATTCTTTGCTGTTTGTGGAGCTGAATAAGCTGCTCTGGCCTACTGCAAAGCACTCTGTACAGCATGTGTTCATGGAGGTGTATGGAAAATCATGCTATGAAAAGCCAGTGTCCGCAGAGGAGACAGAAGAATCCTGAAACTTTATTTCAATAAAGGGAGAGAGTCCACTTTTCTCTCTCGAGGATTTGCAGGCCGCAGCCTCCTTTTATCCTAAACTCCTGGCCACATATTGCCCTCTTCCTTTGCCCATTGGCTGAGGTACCAGGAAGGTACAGCCCTCCTGAATCGCCTACCACATATTCCCCCTTGAACCTGTCATTTTACAGCAAACTTCAGAAGTTCAGGCTTGTGTAGACCTACTTGTCTGTTTCAGGAGCCAAATTGTCTGGGCTCTGCAACAAACTAAATTTAGTAGAGACATTAAGACCCATTTCAAGCTAACACCCATACCTTCACTCATCAAATTCTTTGTAAAGACATTAGCACATCTTTCCAATAAGAAGTGTTTGGTGCAGGGTGCCGAGAGGGAGTAGCAGACCCTCAGGAGGAAGAAATGCCCTCCAAAATCTGCTCAGCTCATGATTGTTTGACTGCTTTAATCTGGTCTGAATTTGTGCTTTGAAAGAACTCTGGCATCTCTATCAGCTCTCGAGTAGATAGGATGAGCTGGATTAGGCCTGGGGGCTGCAGCAGGGAGCACAGCCAGCTTCTGGCACCAGGTCTCCCTCCTATACCCCTCGTTGTGAGGTTGCCAGCACCCTGTGGAGTAGCTGAAGCTGCCATACCACTGCCTGTGGATTTTGATGCTTGTCTCTGCTCTGCAGATATCTGGCAGCTGGTGTGCTGTCCCAAAGTGCTCTGGCATCCTACCTCCACTGAGCAGCACCTCAGGTCCCTGCTCAGGAGGCTGCTGAGCATGTACTGTTTCCTCATGTCAGAGAAGCCCAACCCTCACAATCTGAGCTGCCCTTTCCCACGTTTGCTCTATTTGTTTTGGAGGGTTTTAGCTGCAGGCCCTGTGATTTAGTGCTGGGGATGGTGCAGGGCTGAGGCTGAAAGCAGAGCCAGGCTCTGTATTCACAGACGGTGTCTCTCAGTTCTGAATTTCAGCAGCCCATGTCCTTCCAAGCACCAGCTTAAGCATGGCCATGTGATGGCTTCACTTCCCCGGCTGTTTCCTGCAGTGCTCCCCAGGGGTCCCCATGGTCCAGGGCTCTCTTAGCCAGCAGAGGTGCGTTCTGACGGGCTCAGCCCGGTGGGTTGAGGGAGGGAAGCAGTACAGCCAGGGCTCCCCTCCTCCCTGTGTCCCTCAGCAGGGGCTGCCCAGCCCATGGGCCACTGGGGTGTGGAGAGTCTGGCTGGACCGGCTGGGTGAGTCGAGGTTGAGTCACTTTGGGCGGTGCACACTGAGCGGAGGCAGCAGGGCCCACCACCAGCTCCATGGCGCTCAGTGTTGGTGTCCGGCGGCTCTCCCAGCTGCCGGGCCATGGCGAGCGGCAGGTCCATCTCAGCTTCCGAGGTGGGCTCAGGTGGCCGGGAGGGTGGGGGTTTGGGGATTTAGGGCTGGGGACTGCCTTCTCCTGCCAGCACCTTATGCCTCCTCTCTACTTCTCAAGGCTTCACCCAGAAGACAAGAAAGGTCTGCTGTGGCCCAGAGGCCGTCTTCAAGGAGGTGAGGAAACTGGGATCATGTGGAACTTGTGGGACTGGGATGGGACAAGTCAGTGTCTCGGTCATAAAGTCATAGATTGGTTTGTGTTGGAAGGGATCTTGAAGATCATCTCATTCCAACCCCCACACCATGGACAGGGCCACCTTCCACTGGATGGTCTTCTGGGAATTTCTCTGCTGTCTCCTTCTTCCTCTTTGCTCAGAGGGGCAGATGGATTCCTCACACTGTGTATGTGACCTACATGTACAAGCCTCCAGGAACTGAAATTCAACTGAGTGACACTGCCTGGAAGCCTGGGCATATCAAAGTTGAAGGCAAAACTCCCCCTGCCCTCAGAAAGCCAGACTGTCACTGCAGTTGATGTCTTGTGGGACAGGAGTGCGACTTGTGTGTTTGAGTGCATGTATGTGTGCATATGTGTGAGTGTGCAGGGGCAGGGATGGGGTGGCCTGGGAAGCATGTCCGTTCCTTCAGTGCCATTCCCACTGAAGCCTGTGACAGCCCACCTGTGCTGTGCCAGTGGGTGGTTCCCACCTGTCCCTTGCTCAAGTCCCACTGCCAATGTGCTGCCTGGGGAAAGGCAGTGAAGGTGGCAGGGAGCAGGAGGCACAGCCACTGTTTTGGATGTGTGGTGAGTTGAAGCCTCAGAGTGCAGCTTTTCTCTAAACCAGATGACTCCCTGCCTGGGTGATCACTTCTCCCCAAGCACCTCTGTACGTTCCCATGTTCTGTCTCACTCCACAACCTGCCAGCTCAGGAACTCCAGCAGGCACAAGCATCCTTCTTTTTCCAGGGTGGTGCTGCTCTGACTCCTGTAGCAGTTGGCTTGTGGTTCTGTGCTGCTGGAGGGGCTCTATGCCTGGCCAGCAGGAAAGTAACTTTCTGTCACAGCTGCTTTTCACCATATCCATGGACTTAGTCACCTCACAGGGGAGCCAACCAGCCATGAGACATGGGAAAGTGTGGCTGAGAATGAGTTGTCATCCCTTCCTGCTCCATTTGTTTGCAGCTCTTTTGCTGGCCGCACTATGGGAAGCTTGTCATGGGTGAAATGCTGTCCATTAAGGTTTACAACTGCAGCAAGGTTTTCAGTAACAGGTGGGTCCTTTGATTGTTGGGGTGACCTGTAGAGGTGGGGGAGAAGACATACTGGTCTTTACATTGTCTTCTGGCAGTAGAAAATGTTTATTGAAAATTTGATGGAAAGAAGATGAGCAGACTGCCACTTATAGAGGAAGGATGGAGTGGTTGTTCTGGTGGGGCAGCAATACTGTATATATTAAGTTAAATAAGAGAAATGATTTAGCTGTGCCAGCAGTAACAGGGACTACATAAGGATCCAGATCAGACCTTCAGCTGGGACAAAGGTTAAACAAGGCCCTAAAAAACAGCTACAAAGGCAGGTCTTGCTGCAGACTGAGGACCTACTGTCATCCTGAACATCCTTGTGACTGTGACCATGCTGCACCCAAATTCAACATATCTGTTGGTGTAGAAAAGCCCTGAATGCATTGTGTTATGGTTTAACCTTTAAAAAGACAGCAATTTCAATTTAAAAGATCAGAAAAGATCAGCCAGAATTTAAAATGCTTCTAGGTGGCACAGGCACATTGTCAACTCAGTGGCTATTCCAACACTTGTAAAACACTGCAGGGAAACCCAAGAATGGAGATGACGGGGAGATCTCCTTCACACTCCATGAGTCTGGATCTGCACAAACCTTTAACCATCAATGGCAGCTCAGTTGCAAGTAGCTGCCTGGGGAAAAGGCAGGACCTGCTGCAGGGTCAGTCTCAGGTATTCAGCTGCCTGACTCCCTATGGAAAACACTTCAGGGCAGCTCAGAGGGCCTGTGAGTGGGAGAGTGGAGGTCCCAGTTCTCCCCAGGATGTAGGCACTGATGCTGTGTAGGGTGTTGTTGGAGTCTCTCTTTTTATTCCAGTGTTAGGAAAATTGATCCACAAACACCATAGGTTTATGTCCAAAAAGGAGACAGAGGAGTCCTGTAGCTTTGTTTGAATAAAGGGAGAGGTCATGGGTGTTTTCCATGGGATCTCTCAAATTGTTAGAGGATACAGCCTCCTTTTTGTCCTAATCTCCCAGCCACATTTCCCTTCTCTTTTTCCCCATTGGCTGGCATACTTGAGAGGTACAGACTTCCCGAAATGCCTAATACCTATGACTCCCTTGTAATTTGTATAAGCCCACCCCCTTTTTTTTCTCTTGTGTCAATCTATGGAATTTCTATGGAATGTATGGTTCTTCTTTTATCTCTCTGTATTTAACTTTATTTATCAGCAGACTCACTGTTTGTAAAGACAAATCTCTCATTCCATTAATCAATCAGTGGAATCCTTCCCATTGTTTCTTTTATCCCTCAGTACTAGTTTTATCTACCAGCAAACCCACAGTTTGTAAAGACAAATCCCTCATTCCTTTCACCAGGCTGCTCGGTACCCTTGTCCTCAGCCTTCAGCACCTGATGACATCTGGAAGACTAATCCTGCGTGAGTCCCTTGTGGACAAGAGCAACAGAGTCACTGATGTAAGTTCTCCAAGGACAGTCTGCTATCAGCAGTCAGTAAGGCTTTTTGGGAAACTTCACGTGGTACGCTCCAGGTGGACTGGGGACTGAGGGGGAATCCAAAATGCTGTTTGAGCTGGAAGCACTGTGGCATTTATGCCATCTCTGCACAGACACTTCACATCCACCAAGAGGTTTCTTGGAGCATCTACAAATGCATGGGTTGGGCTGGGGCTCCTGGAGAACTGTCAAGGGCCTGAATGAACAGAGGGAGGCTTCATAAAACCTTCTCAACTCTGGGAAATGGATGTAGGAAGTGGCATCTTCTCTGCTTCATGCACCATGAAGTGCATGTGTATGGGCTGCTGCAGTGATGGAGTGAGGTGGAAGGTGGTAGCGTGCCTTGGAACCCCCAGCAAGCTTTTGGGTTAAACACTAGCATTAACTGGATGACTTAATGAGTGTCTGGGACAACATGAGTGTCACTGACACCTGACTACCCCTCTGCTCTGCGGGTCCTGCTCTCCTCCACCCCAGCACTGGGGCTCAGTTAGTCCTTTGCACTTGTAGAAGATGAACACCACCCTAAAATGAGCTGTTTCCTGCCAGCTGGGCCTGCAGACACAGCTCAGTGGGTTCCAGACTGCCACACCTGTGCCAGGGCAGCTGGCAAGCAGGCAGAGCAGAGGCGGAGGCAGTGGTCCTGCAAGGTGCTCTCTGCTTGCTCTTCACACTGGCAGTATGACTAAACCACATGGTGGCACATGGTATGCAAGCTCTGTGGCCACCAGACCACCAGCCTGAGAGGCACAGGCACAAGCTGCTGGTATTACTGGACTCCTGGAGCAGGTCCAGATAGAAATTGACCATTTCCAGGATGATTTTTAGCCCATGCAGCTCACTGGATAAATGTTCATGCCAGCAAAGAGACAGGGATTAGACTCACCTCTTGGTGCTGGTGATGGTTTGAAGGGACTCCATTGTGTAAGGTTAGAGGTACAATGTGGCCCAGCCCTTTGCCCCGGGTGCCTCTTCCCTTGTGCTCACAGCAACATGTGTAAGAGCCTAAATGAGAGATGCGTGACTCAAGGTGGCTCTCCAAAATGCAGTTTATTCCATCCAAGAGGTTACAGCAGTCCAGGGTCGTGGGCAACAGTGCCTGTGCCTACAGCTGTCAGCTCCAGCTGCAGGCAGGCCTGGAGACCCTTTAGTTTTGGTTACATTGCATTATATACTCTTCTTTGCTGAGCATCTTAATACAGCAGAACCCATCTATACCGTAACTATTATCTATAGCCTATCATAACTACTGTAATTACTATATTCATGTTACAATTCTCCAATCACTAAAAGTTAGTTCATTACAGTTTAAGCTAGAAGTTGTTATTCAGTTTTCTTGCAGTGGAAAATTCTGAGACCTTTTTTCTACTTCCCACATCAGCAGGCTTGTTTGCCTGTGCTATTTTTTTGCTTGGTAAAAACATCTTGTTTGAGGTGGGTTTATCCTTTGCTCTAAGTCATAAAAACCCCTTCCAACCAACATACCCTTTGCCTCCTTGGTTAGCCAGCAAGACCAGCTCAGCAATTCTTTTCTTCTATGTCAAAACTTGCTTCCATCTCTATTCCTTCATCAGACTCTACATTTAAAAATCTTTCTGCTAAGCATACATATCTGTGAGACTTTCTTGTCAAACTGTCATCCTTCCCAACACACATGTGCTGATGAGCTGCTCCAGCCAAAACCCAACCACATTCAGTTTTGCTGGGTTAGTTTTGGATTGTGCAACCCTGGCGGCACAACAGCTGCAGGGGATAGAAATAGGGCTGACTAGATGCTCATTCAAGTGGAGCCTGGGACCCTCTCAGCTCAGCTTGGAAGAGACATGACCCCAAGAGAGAGGCTGCTCCTTTAGAAAAGTGGGAACAAACCATTAGACTTCCTGCTAGTCCAAATCCAGTTCTCCTCTGGGACTAGAGTTACTTGCACCTCTTCTCCTGGTGATTTGAAGGAGTGTTTTTAGGCTCTTAGCTTTTCATCCAGCTTCATCTCAGGCTTCTTCACCCTCCAGTCTTTTCTGCTGTCTCTCCTGATCACCGTACTGCTGATTTCTTGGGCTGCATTTCTTTTCCCAGAAATATGCATTTTCCAGAGATTGAGCTCTGAACCCAGAGTACATCCCCTTCAGCCTACTAAGGAGTGATCTCCTCCATGCTAGTGTTTTTGGCCTCTGCTGGGAAATCATTTGTGTATGTGTTTGTTTGAGATCAGGCTGGCCACCTGCAGACCAAGGGTGTTAGACCTGTGTTGGCTGTGCCAATATCCAGCGTGCTCTGTGCGTCTCTGGCTGTCCTTCCTTGTCTCTTGTGATGCAGGCTCTTGATGTGTTGGTGGCTTCTCCAGCATTTTAATCCAAGCTAGGGATTCCTAGCTTGCTAGGATCCTCTGCCAGCTGTCTTGTGCTTCCTCCAGAGAGACTGCTCCAAATCCCTGCATGTTATTGTGCAGGGCTCTCCCCAGTTCCCTTGTCAAAAATGCCTCGAGGCTATTCTCTGGGCCTCTTTATGGGAGATTTGTAAAGTTGAGCCAGCTTTTATTCAATGAAATATGGAGTTTAAGAAGCTGTGGAGGAGGGAGTTTTGTTATGTCTAGCGTATTGGTGGAGGCAGACAATGGGAGTCTGGTATAAATATGCTTCTTGTGGGGACGCTTCTCACTTCTTTTTTTCTTCCATGTCCCACTTTCTCTTTTTTTGTGACATTTTTGCCTTTGTTCTGTGGCTACCAAGCTCTCAGGCCCTTTCACTTTCTGCTTTGTAGATCTACATTGAGTTGGATTTGCGCTACCAGCCTCCAAATAGCTCAGCGGGGAGCTGGGTTGAAGAGGATTTTGTCTATCTTATAAAAGACAGGTATGGAAATCCTAGGAAGAGCAAATTTCCACGCAGTCTGTACAGCTGCCTTTGTCAGTGGCAGCCTTTGGGATGCAATCCAGCCTCATTTACTCTCCACTTCTGGCCAGGCTGATGCATCTCAATTCTACAGCAGCAATAAGGGAGCAGGACTCTAGGATAGAGAGATTCCTTGTTATCACAACGAGCCTTTGACTGCAATGATCCACTGTAGGTGCTGGGAGACCTGAGACTCCCTAGGAGAGACTTGAGAGCATTTCTGCAGCCCTCCTAGCTTGTGGTTGCAAAGTTGCAGAGAGCATGGCTTTGGCCTCCAGCAATTCAATGCACCATGCATGCTGGTAATGCCCAAAGCCAGGGGAGTTGTAGGTTTCTGGGCAAACACGATGACAGGCAGTAGCAAGGCCTGCAGAGTGTCACTTGTGGAACTAGAGAGAAAACAGTAGACACATGAGGTGGACAGTGGATAAGCTTAGGAAAAAATTGCTGGTGTCCCTGCCAAAAAATAAACAGGAGAGTGGCTGGGGCACTGTTCATTAAATGAATCAGAAAACAGCCATGGCACACTGGTCTTTACAGAAAAGCATCTTTTGTTTTTTACAGTTCGGAGTTAATCATCCACAATCCTGGATTTGAGCAGCTGGAGTAAGTAGCCCTTGAATGTCTTGGCTCACCCTCCTGGATGGAGGGCAGTGAACAGCCCACTTGTGAGGGCTGATGTATGGCTCATGGCATGCTGTGGGGCTTGCAGGACTGCCCAGTGGCTGAGAGCGAAGGAACTGGACAAGAAGGCTGCTGCACTAGGCAGGAAGCTGGCAAAAGGTCTGGAGACTGATGAAGAAGAGGAAGAGGAGGAAGATTTCTATGATACATCTGAGATTGAGGCCTCGGGCATAATCTTCAGCCCTGTGAAGAGGTATCCACAGCATGGTCTTCTTTCTTGCCCTTGCTTGGGTCCTGGTGTAGAAAGTGCCATATCCTGAGGAATTCCTGCAGCTCATGACAATCTGCTTTGGCAAAATGTCAGAAAACTTCCATCTCTGAAGGGCCTAGATAGGGTGTGTTGGGGATTTGCTCATTCCCAAGGCAATGAGCCATTATTTTCTGTTGCTTGCCTTGGTGGGGACTTACTCAGGGTTCATGTTGACAAGGACACCTGCTCACCTGGGCTTTTTTTTCTGTGCAGCCGCTCCAGACTCTGCTCTGCACGGGACCTCTTTGCCATCCCAACGCCGCAGAGTTTCCAGGTACTGCAGCACTGGGTGCATGTCCCCATAGCTGCCTCTAGCCCTGCAGCCAGTCCCTTTCTGCCTTGCTGGAGGCCTGGGCTTCTCCAATTGACACATACTTTGCCAAGGCCTCTAGCATGAAGACCATCATGCTTTGTGTGACTTCCCTGGGCAAGATGTAAGATTCCCTGCATCCATGTACGTCATGCAGAATGAACTGCATCCATGAGTGCCGGCCACAGTATCAGTAAGCCCATGTAGTTAGCTATGGATAAACAGGAGAAGGGAATCATCTACATGTGCCATTGCAAAACACTGCCTGAGCAGAGCTTCAGAGAGTACCCAGGCAGGGCTGGTGCCTGCCAGCTTTCAGCCATGGTCTTGTCTGTCTTCCTAAGGGACAGCTGTGGGACACGACCAGGGCCAGAGGGCTGTGTGGGGGCTTGCTTGGACATGCCAGAAGGCTGTTAGGAAGCAGTGGCTCTGGCTGATTATCTCATATCTGGCTAAATTGATTTCAGGGCAAGTCTCCCAGCATGGCTATGGATATAAATCTTCCTCTGGTTCTAAGTAAACATGGACTCACATTTTGTCCGATCAACCAAGCAGGAAGTTTTTGTGATGATTGAATTTACTGACATCATTCTCTTGAAGCAATCATTCTGTACCTTAACCATGGTCTATTTGCTTGTACTAAGAGCAAATGTGAGAACATTTCTTTTATATCTTAGACTCGTAAGCAGTTGCAGTAAATGTAAGTAAATCTGAAGCAGCCACATTCCAGTCTCTCCAATGGTGCCCATCTCAGTAGGATTCAAAGAGGAATATTAACAGAAGATACAAAAAGCATCTTCTCCAAGATGCTCTGTGGACCCTCCCATGTGGGAGCAGTGGGTTTTCAGCCACTTGGGATCAGAGACTGAGGGTACAGGTGCTGCTGGGAAGGTCAGCTCTTGTCAAAAGTACTGGGGCTCTTACACTTTATTTCCTTGCTTGTCTGAAAGAAACAAGTATCTCAAATACTACTTTGGTCTTTCCTGGCTGTAGTAGATTTCAGCAGGTATGCTTTTGCCTGCCCTAGGCATCCAGCTCTGAATTGAGACTGCCCTGTACATGTGCATACTGGTATTCTGGAAACAATCTCAGGATGGAGGTGTAAACAAGGAGAGTGCTGGTTTTCTCCCATATTTTCTCAGGTTGGGATTAATGTAATTGAAGCACAGAAGTTGGTGGGGGTGAACATCAACCCCTTTGTTGTAGTCAAGGTGGGAGAAGAAAAGAGGCATACGGCAACACAGAAGTCAACAAACTGCCCCTTCTACAATGAGGTACATGACATGGACAGAGGCTCTGTCCTTGCCCCACCAATGTCCCGAGTGCCTGGGACCATCCTTGCAAGGGATGCCTGGAAGCCTGGGGCTAAGCTGTCTTGCTCTTCTCTTCCAGTATTTTTTGTTTAACTTCTATGAGCCAAGGGACATTTTATTGCACAGACTCATAGAGATCTCGGTATGTATGTCTTCCTCTTCATCTTTCACTGGTTAGTGGTACAGCCTGATGCTTCTGTGTGTAGACACTGGGTGCAATGGGCAAAGTAAAGCTACCAATACCATCAAGGTGTTCCAGCTGGAATCACCTGCCCAGAGAGAGCCACAGGGCCTTCCTGTGGCTACACTGAGGCAGAGACCTAGCCCTGCTCTGAGCCAGTGCTGGGCAGTGTTGCCTTCTCAACTCCTCCAGGTAAGGGTTTTTCGTCACCCTGTGACTGCAGTGGGGCCTCTGGGGCATTTTCTTGCCTTTTCCCCTTGTTGCCCTGCTATTTGGCAGCAATTCCCTACTGCCCCCTTACTCTGGAGTCTCATCCTGCAGGTCCTGAAGGTAAGTGACGGATGTGAGGGGAGCTCAGAAATTATTTGTGCTGTAGAAAAGCCCAAGCAGGCAGAGAGTTTGAAAATCCCTTGGCACAAAGCACAAAGACTTTCCCAAGACACAGGGATATTCTGAAGATAGCTAAACCCAGCCAGCATGCCCTTTGCCAAGTGGCCTCCAATACTTTCCTTGTGAAAAGCTGTGTGTCTCTTCTGCTGCCGAGAGTTCAGCAAGAACTGAGCAAGACTTGGGTTATGGGAGAGATGTTGGCCTGGTGGGGTCACGGCACTGCCCTAACCCAGCAGGCTATGGACACAAGGACTTCCTGTGGGAAAACAGATCTGTCCTATCTCCATTGTTGGGCTGTGGCTTACCTGGGACTGCAGAAGCTGAATTGTTTGCACATGACTGCCTCGGTCTAGGTTTGACTGTGGGCTATGGGCTGGTGGGCTTTGTGGGAGTGGTTGGGTAGGAAAGGGTTGGTCCTACAGCTAACACAGATGAGTCAATCTGCATGAAGAGCTTGCAACCACTGCCTCGGCTGTGCTTTGGAACACCTCTTGGCAGCCCTGTGTTCCTCGGAGGTATCTGGATGTGTCACCTGGCTGTCCACACCTCATGGTGCTCAGGGGAACTTGTGCTGTCTGCAGGTTTTTCACTCAAAGAAGATACCATTTCTGGGAACTTGCATAGGAACGTTCAAGATGGATGTTGAGACAGTGTACAGCCAGCCAGGTATGAGAACTGCACCACATACCTGTGTCTGATCCTGGCTCTGTGTGAAACTGGTGTTTCCTTCATGCTCTGATGGGTCTAGTCAAGGCCCTGGTTTTAAAGCACTTAGTTTGCATGAAGATCTGAGCTTGCTTCTCCACCTAGCTGTCGGAAGGCAGGTGACACCTTCTGCACCTTCAGAGGCAGGGTCAGGGCCAGAGCAGTCTGTGCAGACAGAGCTGGATGTGAAATGGTAACCTAGCTGCTCCCTAGGAAACTCCTCCTCTTCCCTCTCAGATCACAGGTTTTTCCAGAAGTGGGCAGTTATCAGTGACCCCATGGACACCCAGGCAGGCGTGAAAGGCTTTGTGAAGTGCAACATCTCTGTCTCTGCACGCGGGGATATTGTGGGCTCCCTTCCCACCTATTCCAGGAACCAGGATGAGGACATTGAAAGGTAGGTGCAGTGGGATCTTGCATGGCCCTGAGGAACACTGCCATATCTCTCTTCACACAACCTTTTTTTCCCCATTTTCCCCTCTTCTGATGGGCAAAGACCCAGTGAAAAAGACCTGTGGTGAGGCAGGATCCAATCTTCCTGCAAGTCAGTGAATTTCCCATCATTGTGTTCCGTGGACTCCAAGAGAGAGGCAGAACATGAATTTGTCTTTCAGGAATCTGCTGCTGCCTAAGAGAGTCCCTGCAGAGAGACCTTGGGCCAGGGTCTGCATCAAACTCTATCGTGCTGAGGGCCTGCCCAGCATGAGAGCAGGCATCATGAGTGGTATCTCCAAGATCATAGGGGAGAGAAAAGTCTTTATTGACCCATATGTGCAGGTCTCATTCTGTGGGCAGCAGGTGAGTCTGAGGGGAAGCTGTGTTGGGACAGGCTGATTCTCCCTTGGCTGTGTGGCAGCACGTGGTGGGCTCATGGTGCCAGGAGCCTCCATGAGGCACAGCAATCCCACTGAAAATAGGCTGGGAGAGCTCAAGTGTTGCTGCCTTTAGCAGTGGTCTGAGCTGTGTGGCCATGGCTGTGCAATGTCTGAATGAGAAGGCTGTTCTCTGCTTTTGTCTCTACAGAGTGCTGCTTATAGGACATCCTCAGCCCTGAGCACAGCTACTGGCTGAGCTACTGGCTTTGCAGGCAGATATTCATATCCTTAAATACAGGGATAAATCCTGGAGCAGAAGTCCTTTTTCTGTGTCAAGCTGGGCTCAGCCTGAGACCCTTGAGAGACTTTACTGAGATAATGACCCAGTTTTTGCACACAAGGTCAGGCTTTTTGATCCCATTATATCCATTAATATGAGAATCAATCCCTGATTGGCAGTCTTGTGGGCCTGGAGTGCTCCAGGCAGCCCTTAGATACCTATGAGTCTGCTGCTCGTTTGCATTCCCTTGATTGTGTAGGTCATGCCAGGGCCTTGGGACAGGCCCCATTAATGAAACAGAGAGGAATTGCAGGAATGGGGATAGGAGCAGGGACACTGCCACACCCAGAGCCTGCCTGTCACTGTCTGCAGGTGGTACAAGAGTGCATGCCATTCCAAGACAAGCTTTGAGGCATCCCTTTCTCTAGGCACCAGTTGGGACGGTGACACTTTCACACCTTCTTCTTCCCAGGGGGAAACGTCAGTAGACACCAGCACCACTGAGCCCAAGTGGAACGAGCAGATCAGTTTCCTTGAGATGTTCCCACCTCTGTCCAGGAAGATAAAAGTCCAGGTGCTGGATGATGCCAATGTTGGTGATGTGGCCATTGCTACACACTACATTGACCTGCAGGAGATCTCAGACCCTGACAGGAATGGTAAGGCTTGGCATGGCTGCCTTGGGGCAGGATGTCTTGGGCAGCCCTGTGCCATGCACTTTCTGCTTGGCATGCTGGTGTCCTGGGGCTGGGAGCAAAAGTGGCTAAAGCACGCTGACACTCTGGTGTCCTGCGCAGTCCTTTTTTGGGAGGTTTTTCTGCAGCAGCACCCTGGAGCATAATGAAACCCTGTCTCTGTCTCTGCAGGCTTTAACCCCACATTTGGCCCAGCCTGGGTGAACCTGTATGGCTCCCCCCAGAACTCAACTCTGCGGGATGTCCACAAAGACCTCAATGAAGGCATGGGTGAGGGCATCTTCTACCGTGGACGCATCCTCATGGCCATCACAGTGGAGATCTTCAGCAGCCCCAGTGCAGCAGAGAGGAAGCTTGGGTACCGGATGAGAGGTGCCCTGAGAAAAGTGAAGCTGAAGAAGAAAAGTAAAAAATCCAAGGAGAAAACTAAAGAACTGAGCCAGCTGCAGGGAGAGGGGGAGGCTGGGAGCTCTCAGGAGGCTGAGCAGCCCAGGGAGGTCACTGTGGAAGTCGAAGAGCTTCATCCACTCCCTGAGGTGAGTTCTGTGCTGACATGGCTGATCCATGTCAGTCTTTGGCATGTACATCTGTGAAGGGAAAGAGGCAAGGTGGGAGGCAGCTGTGTTGATGCAGTAGCCATCCCTTAGCCTACAACCTGCTCAGTGGCTTCACACAAGCATCAGCCAATCCATGGCTCTGCACCAATACCTCAGGATTTCCAAGAAATCCTATCCTGCTTCTGGCAGACCAGTGGTAATCTCAGCAGCATCCTGCTGAGGTCCTGTGGAAGGGCTGGCAGACATCAATTATGCCCTGGTGCTCAGGCAGAGCTTTGGCACACGAGGGTCTCAAGCTGATTTCTGTCTCCTTGCTCAGAATGCGTTGGGGAGAAAGGATGAATTTCTTCTCTTTGCTGCCTTCTTTGAAGCCACTATGATGGACTCCTCTCTCAGCTCGAAACCTGTCAACTTTGAAGTCTCTATAGGTGTGTATTCCCCAGGGCCCCACGTCCAGAAACTATGGGAACAGTGTGAATCTCCCTCTGACAGGCAAGTCAGTTCTTCATACTGCCCTGTCAAGTCAGCTCAGGAAGTTGGGAAAGATGAGGAATGAGTCCAGGGAGTGTGCACCGTGCTTTACTAAAACCCTGAATGTCTTCTATGGGACTGGAGATTTGCACCATTTGTGGAAATACCTGTTTTGGGAAAGTTTGAGGAAACTCTTCTAGTAAGTAGGAGTACAAAGAAGTAGAAGAATTTGGTAGCAAGAAAGGGAAAAAAAGGAGGGAAAGCTGGGATAATGGGGTTGGCCATGTGGCACTGAGGGGATATGACAACAAGCGATGGGGAAACAATGGTCTGAGAGTGGGTCAAAGCCCTCACCTGCTAAGCTGGACGGGTGAAGATGCTTGATGCTGAGATAGTACTTGAGGAGCTGATGCTGGTCCCAGTGCAGGGATGTAGATGCTAGTCCGCAGGCACTTGGTGGAGCTGATAGAACTGAAGAAGGCATACACAAGGACCTCCTTGCAATTGCCCAGCTCCCTCTAGGACCTCCTGGTTGTCCATGTGATGTGCCAATGGTTGGACACAACTACTAGTTCCCAAAGAAGTAAATGCCTCTGTGGCAGTCTTCCTGCCAAGAGTCTGGTATTGCCAGCTAGAAAACGTCTTTTCTAAAAACACTTGAGTGATCCCACTTACCTGTTTATAATTTAATGCTCACCTTCAAGGAAACTATGGCAAATGTGAAGAGGTTGTGACCAAAGGATGGCAAAAAGTGGAAAAGGGAGAAGTGAAAGAGGAAAGCCAGCCTTTACTGGATGCTGGTTCAGATGGTGAGCTGGATGCTGAAATGCTGACTCCACCTTTAGCAGCAATGAACAAATCAGTTACAAAGAGTCAGAGACCAGAGCCCATGGAATATGACAAGTAAGTCTTCTATATCTTTCTATTCCACCTTTCTTGGAGTTGTTACAGCTTCCCACATTGGTTGTTCCAGATGTTATTAGAGGTCTGCTCTAATAACATGTAATGCATCATAGGTTTCTCTTCCTTGCAATCCTGCAGCTTGCCATGGCCTAGCTGGCTGGGATTTCCCACTAGCTCTACGAGCCCTGTGGTGTCTACTTGATGTTTGCAGATGGCCAAGGATGGGGTCCCAAGGAAACTGAGACCTGTCAAAAACAGCCATCCCAGTGAGGAAGGAGAGGAGTACTCTTGGCATATGCTATCCTATGTTGAGCAGACAAGACACATACAGAAGCTCTTCTGATATTTGTTATGGGAATACTGCCTAGTTTGTCCCATAGGCCTGGCAATGTCTTAGTCTTTGTGTTGTGCAGCCTGTGCCTGCTACTACTTAGTCCCATAGCAGTAAGAAATCTTGGCAACTTCCCATGCTCCTGTCAGCCTCATTTGTCTAAGCATATGTTGCTGTCTCTACTAGAAACCCTGTGTGCTAGTTTGGGATGGCAAAGGGCAGATCCAGCAGCTTGCACCCATGTCCATGGTGCAGAGCCCAAAACAGACAATTAATTCCCTATGAGGGAGACAGAGTTCAGCCTCTGCTCCCTTGCTGGATGTGCAAGTGCATGTGTTATGATATGGCATATGCTTTCTGTAGCAGTAGCCATAACCTCCTCTGCCTGCTGTCCTTAGGTCATACAGCTGCCTGCCCATGACACATGAAAAGCCCTGCGTGTATGTATGGAGCTACTGGGAGGATCACACCTGGAGACTCTGCATTTCAAACCGGATTGTCAAACTGGCAGAGCGTCTGGTAGCATTTTCAGAGTTTTTGTCTGTGTCATCCTCCTTCCTGGTGTGCTTTGTTGCATGTGCAGTTGCTGTGCGAGATGTTTGCTGTCCTCACCCCCCATGCAAGTCCATGTCTCTCACAGGGCTTAGTCCCACCTGCCCTTTAGACACGATTGGGTAGGCCACATGGACTCATGCTGTGCAACTGCCTAGTGGTGGTTCCTGGAGGAGTGAGTGATGTGATATGATGTCTGTGACAAGTTCCTCTGCTGCCAGTCCTGAGCTGTGTGAGCCCTGGGCAGATGATTGGGCAAGCAGACTCTCAGGTTGTCGTGAAGGGGATGCAGTCTCTCCCCAGGACCTTGCCTTTCTCTTTTGGCTTGAAAATATGAAAGTAGAGCTTGCCACAATGTATGTTAGTGGCTGCTTGAGGACTGAGACACAAGGCGTTGTAACAACAAATGCTAAGGTTATCCTCAGGCTCTGGAGAATCCCAGGCAGCATAGTGCTGATCTGCAGCTCATGAATCCCAGCTCTGCAGAAAGGCATAAGCCATTTGTGACAAATGCATCCTTGCAAGGTCTTACTCTGACCCCTCAGCCAGGTGCAAGCTTTGTGAATATTGCAATTTCGCTGCAGGAGCAGGGGTTGGATGATGTGGAGAAGCTCTTGAGAAGACCAAAAGCTAAAGCAGAAGAGCGGCTCAGAGAAGTGCTGGAGGAATTTGTAGGTGGATGCAGGTTAGCATGTCCCTGATGTCCTGAAGATTCTTGTTTTCAGGTTAGGAGGTCAGATAATGTTCTGCCTCAGCTGTGTGCAGCCTTCTCTCTTCTCCTTTTGAGGTGGATGTGCAAAAGAAAATGAGGATGACTTGGGAAAAGGACCTTCTCTGTAGCTCTTCAAGCTTGGAGAGGAGACTCCAGTCCTGTTCTAAGAATCAGAGGGGTCATAAATGAGAGCTTCAGTGCTCCTGGGCTCTCATGTCTTCCTAAATGTGAAGGATATTTCCTTCACTATTTTCAATCACACAGTCAAAAGATCACTCACTGTTTCAATCCCCATGACTATCCTGTGGGGGCTGTTATGCACTTCAGTCTGCAGTGCTACAGTAGAAAGGGAGCCTCAGGTACTGAGAATCCCCAGTGTGCCTTCTGAACTGACAAGCTTGCAGAAGAGAAGGCATTGTAGAAATGGAGCCACCTGACACATCTGGATTGGTACCAGGGATTTGGAGCTTGTGTCCCTGCTGTGAGCTGTGCTCAACATGCTGGGTGCAGAGGATACCGAGTCTGTGCTGCTTTTCTTATTGCAGGCAATATTCACTCAGCGCAGAGAGAAAAACAATGGCTCATCCAAATAACCTGGACAGATGTCGGACAAAATACCTGATGCGCAACATTGTAAGTCATGGGGTTTGGTGGTGGTTGGTGGGAGCCTGTGCAATCCCTGCTCTGGGGAAACTTCTGGAGGATCAGCAGGAACTGATGCTAAGAAGGAAATCTGGAGCTAAAACTCACTGTATCAGTCATGGGCTTTTACTACAGCATCTCCCAGTTCTGCTCAGAGCAATACAATTTCTGGCACAGGGAAAAGGGAGAGAATCTGGCCATGGCTGCCCCTTTTTCTGCGCAGATGCTGTGCCCTGATACCTTTCTTCATCTCCACTGGGGCATATGTAGTTGAGCATGTGCATATTGCGGCCCAGTAGGTTGCTGGAGGCCTTTTGGTGCACCATATTCCTGCAGGCAGTTTTGTGGTGGCTCACTGAGATCCGCTACTCCTGAAAACTCAGCCCCTTGGCTGAGTACATATCCAGCAGGTCTACAACAGCCATTCATCTGTCTGTCCTTAGAAAGGGCAACACTTGGGCACTTATCACCCAGCACACAAGACTAGCTAGATGAATGAGAGAACAATTACATACCCTTCATCACAGCACAGCTGTAGAGTCATAGCCCCCGTCAGACTACAAAGCTTTGAAAAGCTGACCAAAATGCAGTGACAGCAGCAGGAAATAAAATTTAGGCATATCTGGATCCCAGTTCCCTTCTCTCTGCTTCCTTGCGTGTCGTCACCTGAGCTATGGTGGAGGTACTCTTCAAAGCCTGAGAGACTCTGGAAGAGAGAACCCACCTAAGAGATGAGTTTTCTGGCCTTGCCACTCCCTAGTGGGTGTACACCCTGAATTTCTTCTGGATTTCATTATTAGTTTTGATTCATCCCAAAGTTTCTTTTCAGATGTGTACACTATCTCCAATATGTACTAATAATGGTGAAAGCCAAGCCCTGTGTTGCAGTTTACTACATCTTCATAATCCCACACTACTGTGGCCCCAAGTTGCTCCTTGGCCAAGATCTCCTGCAGGCACTATCTGGAGCCTTAGAACACCAGCTTCTGGAATGTTTATTCCTTAGACAACTTTCTGCCCCAAATGATTTTAAAGCTTATGGACTTCTGTTACCAGATTATATTGGCCAGGCTGATGAGCTACTGTAGTCTCCAGTTCATGGTATCCTTTGTTAAATGGCTTCTGACAGGTTCATGGAGGTTTGCTCTCAGCAACTGGGCAGTGAGCCATGGTGGACGTCAGGGCGCAATGGGGCAAGATGGACTTGGTCAGCACAATAGGCTCCCTGCAGACCCCCCCATGTGGGGTGGCAGTGGGGCATGGCTGGTTGTGTAACAGCTGTGCTTTGTGTTCAGGTCCTGTATGCAAAGCAGGGGCTCCGTGTGAGGCGGCACCTGACCCGAGATAATGTCAAGGAGAAGATTAAGGAGACAAGGAGGATCCTGGCAAAGATACGTTCCATGGCTAAAGAGGTACAGTGGCTACGAGGGAACCCCTGCTCTGAGCTGGAGAGGTTAGGCAAGGAGAGGATACTGAGCTGGCTGCTCGGGCTCTCACCAGTCTGAGCTGAAGCTTTTCCTCTGCTGCTATGTAAAATTCCAAGTTCCAGCTACTGGAAGTTACCATGTTTCCTGTGATAGCTCTAATGAGGGATGAGGCCTGGCAGCTTTGCAGGGCTGTTGGTGGTGGGGCAGGGGTCCAAGCAACTTTGTAGTGGGTAGGAGGCAGAGCAGGGCCAGCTCCAGGCCTCCTGGGCCTCTCCGCCCCACCAGCCCAAGGCCTTGTCTGCAGCAGACAGTTTTGCCTTGGAAAACAGCCTTGCTTGTGCTGCCTGCACTTCCACCAGGGTCTGCCCCTTGATGCTTTCTGCAGATTCAAACTTGTATTGGAGTAAGATTCTCATCCATAGCAGAGACTCTTCACATTCAGAGTTTCACTTTTTCATTTTAAGTAACTGAAAAAATCGGCATGTTGTGCTGTAGTGTCAACCAGAACGCCATGTTTGTTGACATTAGGTGGACAGATGCTGTTGAAGTTTGGAGAAGTCTTTCACCAAGTAAAGTCAAATAATTTTCACGTCTTTAGCTATGTGAGGGTAGAGTAATGTACAATTGTAGTGATGATGTTTTTCTTCCCAAGTCATCATTTCTGTGATGGAGCTCTGGTGTTCTGGGGAATGTTTGAAGATCTGCCTGTCCACAGGAAGAGGGGAATGAATTCTTTGGTTTGCTTTGCTTGTGTGTGAAGTTTTTTCTTTCCTTATAAAACTGTTTTTATCTCAATCCATGACTTCTTTCAATTTTACATTTTGAATCCTGTTTCCCATCACACCGAGGGACAGTGTGTGACAGGCTACATGGGGCTGAGTTGCCAGCCAGAGTCAAACCACAACACCTCCAGAACCATATTGCAGGGCTGACTTTCAGAAGTACATGGCCAATGTTAGGTCCTTTATTTCTGGATCTCTAAATCACCATTGCTCAGCAGTCCGTCCTGTGGGGAGATGAAGCTTTCACCATGTCAATGGAGGGGGGATGACACATGCTGTTCTTCTGCTGTGATGTTCCTCCCTTCCCTCCCTCCAGCCCCAGTGCACTCTCCCTGATGTACTCATCTGGATGCTCAGCAACAACAGGCGTGTGGCATATGCCAGAATTCCTGCACAAAACATCCTCTACTCAGTAGTTGAAGAGGAGAAAGGCAAAGACTGTGCAAAGATCCAGACGGTCTTTATGAAGGTAGGGTTTATACCAAAACAGTGTGCTCTTGCTTGCTTCACACTGTTTCCTTCTCCTTGCTTTCAGCCCTCCTTCCTGAAATCCTCGAGTTCACAAGGAAACACAGCTCTCATTCCACAACTGCCTTTTAGCTCTGCTGATGTGATGCTCTTTCTCCTGTGCTCTTTGGTCATTCCCAGGCTGATGGTGATCATCTTGGTCTGAGATGTGAAACCTGCTAAACCTTCTGTGCTTTCAGGTTCCTGGCTTACACACTGGTGAGATCTTTGCCAAACTGGAAATCTACATGTGGCTTGGGGTAACCAAATATGTGAAAAACTGTTTGGCAGAGTTGCCTGAGGAGTTCCTTTCCGAGAGTGAGCAGGAGACAGCCCAGCTCTCAGCATATAGCCCTCCCGGCCGGCTCAGCAGGGATGGTGAGTGCAGATACCAGTTCTTCACATCAGCAGGAGAATAGGGAGTTGAGAGGTCCCATCCATGGATTAGTGTCTGTGGTGGTGCATTGTCCCCTCACAGTCCTTCACCTCAGGCCACACTGTGATTTGAGAATTGTAGTATGTCTGAGAATTAGGACCTGATCTAGGGTTGTCTCCAAGGCATGACGGGGATAGGCACATCCAGTTTGATCTCATGAGGATGTATTTGCTCATTCACAGCTAAAGCACCAGACAGAATGGGTGCTTTGTCGGCATTGAATGTGCTGCCAAATTGGCAATGGGCATGAGTTCTGCCCCTCTGATGAGGCTTGATGGTGCTCCCCCACAGTAGATGCTCATAGCAGAACACGGCACATTTTACATGTCGCACATCATGTACTTCCCAGACGTGTCTGGGGAGCCCACTGAGCTTGTCTGGCTTGGCTAAACCTTTTGAGATGTACTGGCCGGAGAACCACAGCCCCTAGAAGTGGCAACTATTTGTCACAGAATGCACCCACTCCTATCTGGCTGGCCTTCTCCTTCAGGCATTTTTTGGCCTCACACAGGACTTTGTCGGGGACTTCCTCTCTCCTTTTCTTACCAGACTTCAGCTATTTCCAGCTCCGAGCCCATCTGTATCAGGCTCGAGGGATCCTACCTGCAGATGATAATGGCCTTTCAGATCCATTTGCAAGAGTGGTGTTTTCAACTCATTGCCAGACCACCAGGGTGAGACCACTTAAACTCTTGCCTCTGTCATCTTGGGAACTTGGGGAGAGAAAAATGACCATGCCCGCACTGACATGTTTAAGGTCAGTGCTATGGAAGTCCTCCTGGGACTGTTGTATCTCCAAGGACTTGGGTATCTATGCTCTGAGCAGTGTAATTATGTTCAGAGAATATCTGACAGTCATTGAGCATGGTCTCAAAGGTTGATTGGCATATGCTAGTTGACCTTGAGTGCTGATCCCACACTTTTACCACATCCCTCCTGCCAACCACCAGCTGCATGTGGCTGTGTGAGAGAGGGAATCAGCCCAGAGTTCCTCTCTTTCCTGCATGTGGTTTATTTCCACTGACTGTGGAACACTTGGGCCTTCTGTCTCCATCTGCAGATGCTGGAGGAGACACTGAGCCCTATGTGGAATGAGCTACTTTTGTTTGACCAGCTCATTATTGATGGGAAGAAAGAAGAGTTGAAAACAGAGACCCCCATCATTATAATCAACCTTTTCAGCCACAATAAATTTGTAAGTATGGCCACGCTGCCCTCCTTATGTTGTTTCTGGAAAAGGGAAGGCAAAGGATTTCTGAGTACTGTGACTTCTCTGCTTGGTTTCCATGACAGCTTGGTGCTGGTCCACTGGTAATAGTGAGTTGTGGGGACTGTGGCTGAGGTTGAGATTTTCTGACTCAGAGATACTCTAAACTCATCAGGGGCTGATGAGTTCTTGTTGGATCCAGGATCTCTTATATTTGAAGAAACATTATGCCTGCTTCCTTGGCAGGCTCACATTGCAGAGGGCTCATATCATGGGGGAACTGATATTGCTTTTAGGGCTATTCCTTCCCTGTGTCCTCACATGTCATCAATCATCCCTCCTCAGTCCTTCCTTTTCTCTCTTTATAATGCTTTAAAGTCACACTGTCTCCTAGAGCCTCTTTGCTACCCTAAGGCTAATGACATAACTTGCACCAGGTTCTCCGGCTGTAACTCAGCAGCTTTCCTGTGGTTCCAGTAAAAGACAAACCCTGTCATATTGGGATGAGTCCAGAGGAGGCCACCAAGATGGAGCACAGGACAGAGGAGGAGAGCTGAGTATATTCAGCCCACAGACAGAGGTTGAGAGAAAGCCAGTGTCTTTTTGCTGTCTGCAGCTACCTGGTGGGAAAGGATGGAAAAGCTCAGTTCAGATTTCTCATGGAAGGTATCAAGGGGCCCAATGGCAAGCAATGAACACAAACTGGCAAGGAAGAAAATCCATCTTGATATAAGAAAGAAATTTTTACACAGAGGTAGAACGCATGCTGGGCTTGTAGCTCAGAGAGCTTGTAGTGTATCCATCCTTGGAGATACTCAAACCCTGTCTGGAAGAGACTCTGAAAAACCTGATCTAGATTTCATGTCCTCTGGTAAATAGTGCCAGGCTGTTTGCTGAGTTCTGCATGGAGATGAACCGGGAGTTAAGTGGAGCTGCTGTAAACATGCCTTTATCTGTTCCTAGCTCTGGATGGAGCAGAGAAAATCAAAGCAGAGGATAACATGGGTGGAAGAGTAATTTTGTATTGTCTCAGATTGGCTGGAATTAGTGGTGGTCTTTGAGGTGGTGAGATACCACAGGGATGATTGGGATACCACAAAGATTTCCCCTCTTTCCTGCAGGGCTCCCCTGAGTTCCTTGGGCAGGCCTTTGCTGTCCCACAGGTGAAGCTGGTTGATGAGCCATACACCAAACCCTCCCTGCAGTTCTTTGACTTCTACAGAGGCAGCAAAGCAGCGGGAGAGCTCATTGCCACTTTTGAGCTGATCGAACTCGATTACAGTGGCTATTTGGAGGTAACAGGCTTGTAGAAAGCTGCACATGGTTGTGAGCTCTCTGAGGAGAGCTGTGTGGGTGAGGAGCTGGTTGCATGGGGCCCCACCAGAATTCCAAGTTGGAGGCCATATCTGGCTTTCCAATGAGAGGAGGCTGCAGGGACAGCCTGTGAGCACAGAACTAGAAGGTGGAAGAGAGTGGGCTTGTCATGGCATGGATTATAAGTGATTTTCATCACCTGCTGTGTCCTGGTTTTACCTGTTCAGCCATCAGTGCCTGAGGATGTGGAGCCCAAGGAGCCAGACTACCTGGAAGACCCTCGTGCGGGACGGTTCATCATCCCTGAGGGCATCCGCCCAGTACTGAAGGAGTTTCGCATAGAGGTGTGCCTCCTTCTGCTGCACTGGCTTTCCCCTTAAGCTGCCCCTGGGTGGAGGGCAGGGCTTGGTGACAGAGTCCAGTTTGATGGTCTAATGTGCCTGTGAGGCCTGAGCAGATGCCAGAAATGGAAGTGCTTGACCTGAGGGGGAAACCATCTGAGTAGTTCAACAGGCAAAGCTGCTGGGCTCCCTCTTCTGGGGACTGTGTCCTGTGGGTGGGGGGTGGTAGCATGGGCAGTGCCATGGCTGGCATGTCTCGGACAGCAGCTTCATGTTGTGCTTCAGATCCTGTTCTGGGGCCTGAGGGACCTGAAGAGAGTGAACTTGTTTGAGGTGGATGAGCCTCAGGTGATCATTGAATGTGCTGGCAAGAAGGTGGAGTCAGAGGTTATTGCATCCTACAAAGAGAACCCCAACTTCACTGAGCTGGTCAAATACATGGATGTGGTGAGTGAGAAGGTGGATTCCACCATGGCAGGGTACACCATAGCTACTCTGCATCATCTCACTGCATGGGACAACACGGAGGGAAACTGCTTCCAGGATTTTGCTCTCCCATGACCACATGGTTCAGCTGCAGAACAAAACCTTTGTGAAATTGCTCACCAAGAACTGTCTTAGCCATGGCCTGTCACTGCAAGGCTTTGATTTTTGGGCATAGCTGCAAGGTGCCAGCAGGCTTCTCCTTATGTGATAGGGCTGCCATAGTTTGACAGCTCAACACAGATTGATCACCTTTACTCCTGTGTACCCCAAGCATAATTCTTTTGCAGGAGCTCCCAGAGCAGGTGTACCTGCACCCTCCCCTCAGCATCTTTGTGGTGGAAAAGCGTGCGTTTGGGCGCACTGTGCTTGTGGGTAGCCATGTCGTGTCCGATGTGATGAAATTCTCTCCCAGAGAGTTGGAGGAGGAACCAGAGGATGTGCCCAAGGGTAAGCTACTTGGAGAGGTTCTCACAGGGACGACAGGCAGGTTTTGCCAGTGGCAAAGATCCCTGGCTCTTCCACTTTCTCTTAGAAAAATGATTTCTTGCAGCAGAATCCTCTCCCTGCAATCACATGGTCATAGAATCACAGAATAGTTTGGGTTGGAAGGGAGCTTAAAGATCATTTTGTTCCACCTTCTGCCATGATTACGGACACTTTCCACTAGACCAGATTGCTCAAGCCCTGTCCAACCTGGCCTCGAACATTTCCAGGAATGGGCCAGCCACAGCTTCTCTGGGGAACATGTGCCAGGGCCTCACCACCCTCACAGGGAAGAATTTGCTCAATGAGACCTTCATCTTTAGGGAGCTGGTCCACTAGGACCAAGGATTGAAAAGTTTTCAGTTCTCTCATGTTGTCAGGTCAAAGTCTGTTCATTGGGTAATAGCTTAGCTAAATAGCTCTATGATAGCAATAGCCAGCACTCCTGATCTGGAAGCGTGAAGAAGAAGCCAAAGATTGATCCATCTGTGGCTATTTCTGAGTAGGGAAGGTATATCTCATAATTATGAATTCCTGGGAGTCAGCAACAAGCATATTGATGATGGTGGTTAATCTCAGTACTGTAGTTGGATTTCCAGCAGTATTTTTTCAGGGTCTGATTTAAAAAGCTCTGAAATCAATCAGATTAGTGTTTTAACAGGGAGGATTTTCCTATGGCTGAAAGTAAGAAGTAGTGAGCAGAAATAAATGCATGGAAACATTAAGTTTTTTATTTTCATCTCAGCTTGCAATGTCTCATCTCACCGTCTTCCATCTCAGACTGTGGTAAACACTGGACTGACAGCTGGTGACCCGGGTTCCAGCACTCACCCCCTTAGTTTTGTGAAGGTGAGTCATATGTTGAGTCCAACAAATTTTGAAGTTTGTAAAGCCAAACTGTAGATTACAAACAACAACAACAACAACAACAAAAAGTTCAGAAATTCAGTGTTAGGTTTAATCCACCAGGTCTTTTTCTGGACTGAAATTCTCCTCTCTCCTGCCTGCTCATTGGCAGTATAATGTGCTGGGGCTCTGGCACAGAGACATTAAAGAGGTCTGCCCTATGCCTTGAGAATGGCTTCTTTTGTAGCAAAGAACAAAGCTGGAGCCACAGGCAGCTTTGCACCTCCTGTGCTGTGCCTGAATGCTGAGACTTTGCCAGAGGCTCCCAGGGCACTGGAGGAGGGTGCATGAGTGTCCTGGATGGTCATTTCTTCCCTCTGAACCCTGTTATCTTTTCTCTCAAGGCTCCTTCGAAGAAAATTCCTATCAATAAGCTTGTAAAGAAGGAAGATGAATATGAAGAGGAAAAACCAGAACTGGAAGAACTGGATTGGTGGTCCAAGTACTATGCGTCCCTGAAAGAACTGTATAACCAGGTAATATTTTGTGACAGCTGCCAGCAGAAGGGAAAATAGGCTGCACTGGTCTGATGAAGATATTTTCAACCATATTGAGTGTCACAGGAGCTCTTCTGGCATGGATCTGCAGGAAGATGTGAACTTTAGTGTATCAAGCATATTTAAGGTACCCAGGTATCAAACATCTACCAGGTGGGCTGATTTCACTAGGAGGTGGGTATTGAAACATCCCTGAGGCTCGGTGCTCAACTGGTGTGAGAATGAGGCAGCTTCTGTCAAGGGACTTCTGAAAATGTGAGGTTGCTGACTTTAACAGGGACTTTCATACTGCTTACTCTGTCCTGGTTATGTACTAGTATGTGTTATGGGAGCAGGTCTGCTCCAAATTTCCTTCCTTGCACTGTCAACTTAAATTCCAATCAAAAGAAGCTAGAAGGAGGATCTGGGGAGAAGAAAAAAGTCATTAAGACACTCGTTGAATGCCATCCTGCGATAATGTTATTGCAGAATGATTTCAGCTATGCCTTACTTACTCTGCTGGCAGGAAAATGTCAGTGTTGTGTGCTTGGAAGGTGAAGCTTTTTCTGTCAGAGATCTGAGGTGACTGTGTGTGTTTCAGGCATGCAGTGATGAGGAAGATGCTGAGAATGATGACCTGAATGATGCAGGTGAGCTCTCTAGCAATACCTCACTCTTTAGTGGGGAGAACCAAGATTTTATACCATCCCAGAGGGTACTGGACTTGTGAGAATAGTGTCTGTGCAGACACCCTTGCAACATTCCGCAACAACAACATAAAAGTGAGCAGAGAGGCCGAAGACATTGAAAAGGGCTATCAGGCTATTTCAAGTTGAAAAAACACCAAACTTTCCTGAAAAAAATTTGGAAAAGTCAGGAAAGTCCTGGAAAATAGTGGAGTCTTGAAAAATGGTGTTAAAGCAAGTGTTTTCCTGTGTGAGAAAAATGAAGAAAAATCATCTGCAGGGATCGTGGGATTGTCTAGGTGAGACCAGGAAGCAGTGGTAGGATGGAGAGAGGATGATGGACAGGAAAAACTGTCCAGGATCTGGGAATCACTCTGTGCTTATGGGGTACTCACGTGGGGTGCAGATGAATCAGGTAACAGGAGATACCAGAGGCAATGGACAACAATAACAATCTTTTTATGATCTGAGAATAGTGTTACAGCTGTAGGTTCAGGTTTGCAGAGGTGTAAGCAGTGACTCATATGGCTGTGGCCTGGGAAAGTGCAAAGTATAAAAATGATGTAAATCATCACAATTTAAGGAGAGACTTTGAGGGTACCTGCATCCCATTAGCGCTTGAGGGATCTGGAGCCTTGGGAAGTGAGACAAGCACACACCCACTCTGTCCTTGGTTTGGTGGTGCCCCTGAGAAAGGTCTAGACATGGTCTCTTTCAGCTGGCTGTGCCAAAAGTGGCAGTGATGCTTCAGTTAGCCACCCAAACCAACAGGCCAGCAAATAAGCTCTCATCCAAAGAGGAGGGTGGACTCTCCTCTGTGCCTTCCCTGACAGCACCAGTAAGGTGGCCCAACCACCTTCCTTCATTTGGTTTCTGCCCAATTCCTGTCTAAATGGTGGCCATGCAGACAAATAGGCAGGTAGGTCTGTGCTAATTTTTGTCCCCCCACCCATCCAGCCATGCTGTGCTGGGAAACTGGAGATGCTGGAAAGACACCTGTTACAAATAGCAATAGCTCCAGTTGCTGTGACAGAGGCCAAAGCCCTGGGTGAAAGCAGAAACTGTGGCTGGGGTGACTTCATGTAGAGACACTTGATATGATGGGCAAAATCAGAGTGTTTCCTAATCTCTTACCATCATTTCTAGATGGAGGGAATTTAAATGCATCTTTCATTGACATGGAAGCAGAGGATGAGGCAGTGATTGAAACTGAACCTGCTCAACTGAAGAGGAAGCTCATTGCCACCCTTCAGGTGATAATTGGGGTGACCTACTCACTTTCAGCCCTGGCCCTTCGTCCATGTCTTCCTCACCTTCCTGCAGTGGAAATTATGCTGGGAGGAGAACATGCAGTGTGTGCTGAGGCCACACCATTGCTTGCCTTTGATGCAGCTAATAACACCTTGGAGCCAAGCTGAGATGTGCATCCACATCTAAGGCTGGCCCTAGGGACATGCAGGAAAATCATTAACATCCTGCCCTGAGTAATACAGAAGTAAGGTAGGACTAGGTGAAATGATTGAAACAGAGAAAGGATGGTCTTTCTGACTCTCCTTCCCTTTGAGATGGCAAGAAAAGGCTCACAATAACTTTCTACTTATTTCAGATCTACAACTCTGAGCTGGAACATGAGTTTGGTAATTTTGAAGACTGGTTGTGTATTTTCCCCCTTCATCGTGGCAAAGCAAATGAAGATGAAGATGGAAATGAGGATGAACACTATGTGGGGAAGTACAAGGTACTGTTTCATTTGGATGACATTTGTGCTGCTTGTGGAAGAAGATCCTTATAATCTGTATTTCAGGGCAAGCCAACACCAGTAAAACCTTGTAGAGTGCATGGGTGTGCAGTTTGGGCTACAGCACGGCCAGGGTATTGTTAGTGCCCGTTGAAGCAATTGTACTTTGGTCCTACGGTTTTTATCTTATAAATCCATCCAATTTAGATTTTTTAACTGCTACAAGGAGAAAGTATGAAGCATAAAGGACTCACTCTGGTTGCAGCCTCTGGGTCTATTCAATATGCATATAAGTACTATATAAGTAAGCTTCTCTGGTTTTAAGGTTAGGAAAACTTATTTAAAAGAGGTGTCATCCTCCCATCCAGGAGCTCTTGATGACTCTAAAATATCAACTACAGAAGTTGTAGCTGTCGCTAGAAAACGTTTGGTGTCCTCTGTCTTTGGCAATCCAAAGTGCCTAGAGATGCTCATATCTGACATTGGCAGAGGCATGACAGCCTGCAGCCTAAATTGCAAGCAGGGATTGCCTGGGCCATGTGGACATGATTTGACCTTTGGAAAACACTGTCCCCATGGCCATAGGGTGTCTGTGGTCTGCATGGGGGAAATGGCTCTGATTTTCTAGTTAGCAGGCGAAGCTGGTGGCTCCAATCCTTTCTGAGATATTCCCATGTATATCCAACTGTTCCTTGAAAAGTGTTTTCTGCAGGGCTCCTTCTATGTCTACCCCAGTGAGGAAACTGTTACAGAGCCCAAGGTCTCCCAGGGAATTCCAAGGAATAGACCCATCAAGGTTCTTGTAAGAGTTTACATTGTTAAGGTAAGTCTCTGGGGGAGGTGACAGTAATGCTTGGCGGTCTCTCCCCTCTCTGTGGACCTTCTGCCCTTCTCTGCTCAGTAAATGTGAGCAGTGGCGCTTGTGAAAAATGTGATGCTGGCTTGAAGCCTCTGCCAGTGGAAGGCACCTACCTCCTGTCCATGGAGAGTCTTCCATGCTTTGTAGCTTGAGGACGGGCAGATGGGTATTTCTTGGCTCCTCACATCTGCCTTGAGATCATGAGCAAGTAGGTGGGTCCACAGCTGAAGATATTAATGGCTTGTAGAGTGAGGATTTGTGTGGGATCAAGTGCCTGTTTCACGGCTGGGGTGGTTGCTGGAGGGACCTGACCAAGCGGGCTTGGGTGGTTTCGGGCCGGTGCAGTGTTCCTTGTTCAGGTTGCCCTCCACAGCTGTGTATAGCAGTATCTCTTATATATTCCAGGCCACAAATCTCTCTCCAGCAGACCCCAATGGCAAAGCAGACCCCTATGTGGTGGTGACTGTGGGGAAGCAGCAGAAGGACACTAAGGAGCGATACATTCCAAAGCAGCTCAATCCTGTGTTTGGAGAGTATGCAAGAAGGTTTCATCTAGTGGGTTTAATAAGAACAGTGCAAATCTGGGGCTTGAAATGTGGTTCAGCATGTAAGGTCTTCTGTTCCTTTCTGATGGAGAATCTTGTGCTTTTACACAAAGCCCTTGGGCACGTCTCTTTGCCTCCAGCTAACTCAGGAGCCATCATGCTTTGGGTTAGGAGGCGAGTACACCCAAGGATTTGATTTAAAATTGGAAGCCAAGCATTCCCTAACTCCAGACCCTCTATCCGAGCCATACACTCCTGGAAAAGGAATTCCTTTGTTTGAGCATGCACACTGAAAATGTCACATACTGAATTTAGAGAGAATCAAAGTTTATCAGAGGCCTTTAAGTTGTCAAATACAGTTCTTAAATATATAGGATTATCAAAGCAGAGCATGTGTTTAATTTCCATCCTCTGCTAATTGTGCTTTCCCTGTTTGATTCTGTCCAGAGTTGTGGAGCTGACAGTCTCCTTTCCCATGGAATCAGAACTCACTGTGGCAATATTTGATCATGATTTGGTTGGATCTGATGATCTGATTGGGGAGACCAAGATTGACTTGGAGAATCGATTCTACAGCAAGCACAGGGCCAACTGTGGAGTGGCTACACAGTATGACTTGTAGGTACCAATGTGACACATGAGGGCCATAGACATTCTTCTCACCTGCCACATGTGCGTAATAGAGCTCCTCCTGTTGTGTGAGACAGAATATTCATTTGCAGGTACTCATTTGCAGATTCACTACAAGTTACATGGATAACTCTATCTCTTTAGACCCCTACCATCTTCCTGTGATAACTCTAATTCTTACTGCAATCTAATATACCTTGCATAAAATAGCAAAAAAAGCCTTTTCTATTCCTTACACATTGGTGTTCTGTGAGAAAAGTGCTTGCTTGACTCTGACCTCTTTCAGAAAGTACAGCAGTTTCTCTGGCAGCATTTTGTAAGCAGCAACACTCAGGACATCTGATTTTCTTTGGCCTCCTTCCATATGGATTCTCCAGATCTTCAGGCAAATTTCTGCACATTTCTCTTCTCCTACCCTGCTATTGAAAAATTAGCTGTGGGAATGGAGCTGAGTACCCAGCACAACTAAAAGTTCTTTCTCACTTAGGAACTGCATCTAGAATTGCTCCTGCTCCTAGCATTGCTTCTGCTGCTCAGAAGCTAATAGTTCTGTGGGGTACAAGTCCAGCTTGTTTTCTTCAGGAAAGAATTTGTTTAGTTTTTCATTCATTAAGACTTTTTGTAACCTCTTTAAGCCCAGTGGAAATCTGAGCAGGGTTCTAGTGATATAGCCTATGCTTTGGGAAGGAAGGCTGTTTCACAGCCTAGAAAGGAAACTTAAGTTAAACAATTTCCTGATGTTTTCTTTTTCCATGCAGAAATGGCTACAACATGTGGCGAGATGCTTTTAAACCCACACAAATCTTGGATAGTTTATGCAAGAAAAACTCAATCCCTGCTGCAGAGTACAGATGGGAGGAGATCAAAGTGGACAATAAAATATTCAAGGTCCCTCCAGAGGCTTTTCCTGAAGGTACATAGGGCTTGTTACACTGGTCCCTTAAGCAGCTGCCTGTGCTCAGCAATGCACGTGCTGCTGGGTGGTCTGCGAGCCCACAATCCTCTCTTCCCTGAGGTGTCCAGGCTGGCTTCCCCCTAGGTGCCCTGCATGGCCCAGGTTTTTGGGTTACTGTGAGGTGCATCCTTGGTTCAGTGCCCTCGTTTCAGTGGACATTGTTGCACTGGGAGAAGATGTGATCCAGGCCATTAGATAACTAAGTGGCTTCCGCGTCAGTGGGTGGAACAAAGTAAACCTACTTTCACAGCAGTGCTGGTCATGGAGGTTTGCTGTATGCCAACTTATTCTGGTGGCTGGCACTATCACAAAGCTGTACCTTCATCTGCTTATGATCACTATCAGCAAGATAATGAAGTCCTCTTTGGGGTTATGGTTATGTGTGTTTTGCAGTTTTTTGGGTTGTGGATTTTTTTTTTTTTTGGTTGGTTGGGTTGGGTTTTTTTGTGGTGATATTTTTTGTTTGTTTTTTCTTTAATGTTTTTTGGTTTGTTTGTAGGTGTTGTTTTGTTTTGTTTTGGGCGTGTTTTGGGGTTGCGGGGGAGGGGAAAGGGAGTATTTTTTCAGTCTTCTTCCCTGTTTCTAGCTGGCTTTGTCCAGGAATGCTCTGTGCTTCCAGTGGCTTCAGGTGCCTTGAGTGATTCCACATTGCCTCTCTCTACTGTTGATCTCCACCTTGTGGGCAGCTTCTGCTTCTCATTTGCTGTTTTCTTTCTCTCTGCCTGACATTACAAGGGAGGGACCAGGGCCAGGGCCACAGATGTCCAAGAACACACCAACCTTTCACAGTGTCTACCAGTAGTGATGGAGATCTTCCCTCAGCAAAGGCCAGATCCTGCTGCTGCCAACACCTGTGCAATTGAGTCCAACCTTGAGGAAAGACTAGAGCAGATGTGGCCCACATGTGGATGGCTGAGTACTGCAAGGCAATGCTATGTAGCCTGTAGGAAGGATGATCCTTGGCCTTACCTGCTCAGAGTGAGGACACCTACATGTATGGACAACTTTACTTTCTCCTTGTTTCAGAGAAACTGTTCCTCAGTTTTCTGGTGGTTCCTATGACTTATGCAAAGAATGGAAAAGAAAACCTACTCAGGAGAGGGCAAGGAGCCTCCAGAAGCCACTCCTCCTTTTTTTCAGGTCACTGGATAGCTGGGGAGGGAGAAACAAGGTGCTCTCCTGGTGTTCCCTGACAGCTGGTTCTTGTTCCAACACAGCTGCAACTGGTGTCCTGTGAACCTCTGCTGTACTTGAACACTGCTTGAAATGGTTTAGGTCTCAGACTGCTATCCAAGGGGCAGTGGTGCTCCATAAACCCAGGAGTGAGTGGGTCATTATGCCCTCATCTGTTGGCTCTGGTTTATCTCCCACCAGCAAGATTTGGTCTTGAAGTGCCATTTGGCTTTGCTGTGCCAAAGGAGTCAACTACTAATTGTGTTCATTAATGGAGACCACAGCTGCCTGTCTTGAGACTATCAAGTAATGCTTTCAAGTAGCACTTCTCTGGCAAAAATTCATCCATGGATCTGTTGGCACTACCACAGAGATGTGGGGACTTAAACTGCCCCAGAGGATCACGTCCTCCTCAATGTTCCTTGGATCTTTTTCCCAGGGCCAGAGTAAATTAGTTTTTGCCCCTTCCATTGCATTTCTCTTAGCTTGTTTTTTTCCTGCTTGCCATTTCTGTCATCACTGCATCATACCGAACTCACTCCCTTCATCTTTGCCCTCCTGCTTCTCCCCATTTGTTTTTCTGGAGAGGTGCTTTTTTGCTCAGTCCATCATCTCCTGTTGCTTGTGCTAGTGACTGATGTCCTGACATGACTCTTGCTGACCAGAAGCCCTAATTTTCTCCCTGGCTGTGTCCTGCTGCAGAGGCTTCTGTGAGGAACAAGAGAGGAGTGGCAGATGAGAACTTGTCGCTGGATGTTGAACATAAGGCTCTGTACGTCCTGCAGCACTGGGAAGAGATGCCAGGATATGGGTACAAGCTAGTACCAGAGCATGTGGAAATCCGGTCTTTGTACAACCCGGAGAACCCCGGGCTTGTGCAGGTGAGATGTGTTTCCGTGCTAAACCTTAACATTGTTTCGGGGAAGGGCCTTCTGGACAACTGGTTTCTAGTCAGCTGTCCGGTTGCCAGTGAATCTTACATATTGTCCCCTTCCTAGGTGGGTGACTGGAGTTATGTCTGTGGATGGCTGGTCCAGCTATGAAGTGAGGACATTGGCCATGGTTGTCCTTTGCTTACACCTACCCTCTGACCTCTCATGATGCTTCTGAATACCCTTTTCTCAAGGAAATTCTGTCCATTGATGTTGTGTTCACAGTGTTGGTGACCCAGAGTTCTTCCTGTCTCCACAGGTCATTTAGCACTGGCTCTGATGAGGATACTGTGTGGGTGGCAATAGATGTGCTCTGCTTTTGAGCCTTGCCACCATGCACCCCCATGGCTGATGGTATCCTTGCCTATACCTGCCTCCTCTGCATTGTCCCTTATCACTGCTGTTTTGCAATAACCTTGTTGTCCGCCCTTGGCTTCTCCATCCTTAGTTTTGTGCAATGCAGCCATCTGAACTCACCATTTTAATGTCCTGCACTGAAATCTCCTGTTTTCTTGGGTACTGGAGGTTTGAACAAAGCAGAGTCCTGCACTCATGCTGGCTTTCTTTGGCATTGGAAATGCACGAGTCAGATCTATCACTTCTTAGTTTTGTTGGTTTTGCTTAAGCATTGCATTACCATATGCTCCTTATTAAGACAGAGGGACATGTTTACCTCTGAAATTCAGTGTAGGTCAAGTGGTTTTTCTTGGAGCAGAAATAAGCAATTTTTCATAGCCTTAATTTTTTTCCCTGTGTAAAATCGAATCTCATGTCACTCTCAAGTGCTGGGAATGGAAAGAACCAAGCAGGGGCTTTCTGATGAGAACTTTCCTTGCAGGATCAAACCTTTGCTCCTTGAAGAGCTGGAGAGTGGTCTGTCTCTTGAAGTGTCTTTGCTCTCTTCTCTCTTCAGGGCTCCTTGCACATGTGGATCGACATGTTTCCAAATGATGTCCCTGCACCACCGCCCGTCAACATCAAACCACGACTGCCTGTCAGGTAGCACATGTGGGGGTAGGCCTGGGGCTGGTGGGCTGCAAGGAGGGTCAATGTCCCTTGCCATGGCTGGTGGGATGTGCCACAGGGCACTGGCTGAGGGTCAGTGCTAGTGTGGCATATAGACCTCTTTCCTCCAATTCTGACCACAGGATGCTCTCTTCAGTGTATCATGTTGGGCCCTAAGAGCTTCAGCTACACAGAGGTTTGGGGAAGGGCAGGTCAATGTCTCTATGGCTGGACATAAAGGTAATAGAAACCCAGGCCAGAGCTACTCATCAAACTCTATTCTGGCTAGTGGACAGATGTCCATAGGAGTCTGGAGAAATAGAGTTGAAGGACAAAATCTGCTGTTTTCAAGGATCTAATGGTACTTTTGAGATGGAGGATCCAGGTTATTCTCTGACGTTCACCTGAAAGGACAAGAGATAATAAACATGAATTTCAGCAAGGGAAACTCTAGCTGACTATAGAGAAAATGTTTTCCCAGTGAGAGTGAAGCTACCCTGGAATAGGGACAGATTGACTCAGACATGCTGGGGTGTCTATCCTTGGTGATATTAAAAACTTATGCAGACAAGGTCCGGCACAATTGACCTACTATGAAGCTAGAGCAAGAGCTTGGAGCAGAGACTGCAGAGATTCCTTCTTGCCTAAGCTTTTCTGTACGCCTATGGCTTAGCAGAGCAGGGTGGATTTCCCATGCAACAGGGATTTGGTTTGCAAAAGCTACCTGTATTGACTGTGGGTGTTTGTCTTGTAGGGTTGTAGTGTCCAGAAAGGGTTTTATGCCTGGCAGTGAGATTGCAGAGCTGTGCTTGGCGGGAGGAGCGGGGGGAACCACACTGCTGGGAATTTTCAAGTCCTGCAGCTCTGGCGTTGTGCTCAGGGCTTGATCTGCCCTCCCATGCACCAGGGACAAGGACATGAATCTCACCTCTGTGTCCTTCCCACAGCTATGAGCTCCGTGTGATTATCTGGAACACGGATAATGTGATCCTTGATGATGTCAACCCAGTAACAGGAGAGCTTTCCAGCGACATCTACGTGAAAAGGTCTGGTGGGAATGATTGGGAGGCCAGAGCTTGGCTGCCCTGCTCCCTGCCCTGGCCCACATGCTCACTTGCCTCCTCTGAACCTCTGGTGTGAGATGCCTACTCCAGTTCTCTTCATGGGCTGCTCTAGCCCCAGAGATGTTGTCCAGGTGTTGCTCTGGTTTGACCCTTTCCTGCTACTCCATGGTGTTCAGTGCTTCCATCCTCCTGCTCTGCCTCTCAGGCTGGCTGACAAGGGTAGAGGATAACTGAGTTTCTCCTGCAGCTGGATAAAAGGTCTTGACCATGACAAGCAGGAGACAGATGTTCACTTTAACTCCTTGACTGGGGAAGGCAATTTCAACTGGAGGTTCATCTTCCGCTTCAATTATCTCCCAACTGAGAAGGAGATCACCTACAAGAAAAAGGACTCTGTCTTCTCCATGGAGGAATCAGAGTTTCGGGAACCGGCTGTTCTGGTCCTCCAGGTCTGGGATTATGACAGGATTTCAGCTAACGACTTTCTAGGTATGGTGTTACCTGCTGGAAATGGGGTGACCTGTCCCTTACCTGGCTGGAGCATTTCCCTGGGGTTCAGCTCTCTGAGAAGGGACCCTAGGACCATCAGATCAAACTCTTCAGCTCAGCAGTCATCTGGGCTGGTTTTTCACACCTGAGCTACAGACAAAGCCTGGAGATAAGCACTTCCCCTACACAGACATGCAGTGCTTACATGCTTGTCCCAGGGCCCTGGTGTATTTATTCAGGGCTTGTCACATCACAGGACTCCCAGGTTCTGCTTCCTCACAACCTTTCCAATAAACGTGCTTGTTTTCTGTGCTCTTTGATATGCAGATCTCAAAGTCTGGGCTTAAGAACACTTTTCCCAGGACCTTATGTTGTGGGAACAGGGACAACCAGTGTAAGACTAGACAACCTTTGTGAGACTATTGTCACTTGAGTTGCTGGGACCTCAGAGCTCCCTGGATGCCCCTGAAACTTCCCAGTAATAAAACCTCCTGAGATGGGCATGCAGTAAGGCCCAGTGCCAAAACAGAGCTAGTGGTGATTCCCCACATATTATGCTAGCAAGTACTGCTGATTGTCTCCCACTTCTGCTGTCATCCCCAAGATTATATCACTCTGTTCAGTTGTTCCTCCCTTCTTCAAATGTTAACCTCCCTACTAAAAAGCAGCACCTTTCCCCAACTATCTCCTGGGCATGTTTGAACTCTCCTTATACTTCACCTTTCATAGTGTATTTAAGAGGCTTTACTGCTAGAGGCACTTCCAGTGGTTCAGCCATGAAGAATTGAGGCACTGAAGAAAGAATTTACAATTCCAATGATTTCTGGCATGTATAATCTCAGGACCTTCTAGACAGTAAGAGGCTTCTGCAGGGTTTACTGCAATCTCCTGCCCTGGCTGTAGGTCAGGTTGCTTAGGACATTTTCTGGGTGGGTTTTGATTATCTCCAAGGATGGATTGCTAGCATGCTTCTGGAGCCCTTTTCCTGGCTGCACCTTTTTCACAATTCTCAGGTTTTTTACTTCCAGCATTTTGTGTCTGTTGCCTTAGGTGCTTTCATTATCCATTTCTGAGAAGAATCTAGCTCCATCTGCTCTGTAGCTTCCTCTAGGCTGTGAGGGATGCAGTAAGATCACCCTCTTGACCTCTCTTCTCTGAACTGAACATTTTGTGTCTCTCACCCCTCTTGTGTGGCACCTACTGCATACTTGACTATCTCAGCCAATAAAAACTATTTCGTTGACACCTTTCTTGTATTAGGGGTCCAAAACTGGGCACAGTATCCAGATGCAGTCTCACTTGGAAATGAGCAGGGAACACTCACATCCCTTGTCTGCTTTTACCAGTACAGACCAGGATGTGGTAAGATTGTTTTGTTGCAAGGGCTCAGTGCCAGAGTGGGACAGGAACTCATTCTGACCAGGACAGAGGCACAAGACCAAACAGGGAGATAAACTGAGGCTGTTGCAGATCTATGATAAACTTGAAACCCTTAAAGCACTTATAATTTTAAATTGTTATCATTTTATAAGTTTAATTGACATTTCCAGGAATTAGAGAGGAAGATCATCTTAGACATGTGAGGAGAGCAGGGTGGGACATAATAAAAGGGTGAAAATAACTCACCATATGAACACACCAAACAGCCCTTATCAAAAATGAGATGAGACCTGGGGCTTCTGCCTCCCAGTCTCTAACTCCTAAGCTAGTAATTTCTTATGCATAATTTCAGGTTCTCTATCTGTAAATGTGCAGGGTGCTGCTAGATAATTGCAGCAGCTGGGACCTGCTTGTGGCAGTTGGGAGCATGGCAGAGACAGCCAAATGTTGTGTGGGGCTGACCTCAAGGTTTTACCGTGTGGTCTCCTCTTCCCTGTGCCTGCAGGCTCCATCGAGTTGAAGCTGCATGACATGGTGTGGGCAGCCAAGAGCTCTGAGCATTGCACCATCAAAATGGCCAAGGAGAATGCAACACCTCGATTCTCCATTTTCCGATATAAGCGCATGAGGGGCTGGTGGCCCTTCATCAAACTCAGAGATCAAGAAGATGACGAGAGACAGGAAAGAGAGTACAAGAAGAAGAAGAAAACGAAGTGGAGCAGCTCAGTCAGACCAGAGGACATGGAATTCACAGACCCCAGTGGGAACAAGTATTTCTTGACGGTAAGGTGGGGAGCTGGAAAAGGTGAGCACAGCCAGTGTTTTTCCTCTGCCTTGATATGGCAGCCTGTCCTACACGCACACAATCTACAAGGGAAGCGGTGACCCAGCTTTTGCAGGATCCTGAAGACTTCTTCCATCTGCTGCTGATCCAGCACTTTGTCTACCCCTGAGAAACCAGGTGCTGTGGCATGCAGAGGTGTCTGACTTCATGTATTCCTCTGAGCTTTCCATAGAGCTCAGCTCCATGAGGGGAGCTGTATTGGTTTAGAAATTTAGTATTCCCACTAAAACACCTCAGACCATGTTCTCCTCACTCACTCCTACTCCAAAGCAAGAGGCATATGGCTCCCCATCAGCCATTCAGGACAGCAGCAGAAGCTTGTACTGGGGTCTCTGCCTACCCTAGACAAGCAGGTGCTGACTGACCAGGGACAGACTTGCTCCTGATACCCCTGCTGCTGAACCACTGTGTGTCTCCAAGGGTGAATTTTGCTCAGTGCCACTGTGGGAGGGTAGAGACAAATCAGGTAGTTGGGGAGTTCATTAAAATACAGTTCCTTGTCTGCAAAACAGTTTCTTACCAAGCCACAGTTTCCACTGGCTGTGAAGTAAGACTCTAGCCAACGGAGAAAAAAGCTCTGAGCCATCTGTAAGTGGAACTGGGAGAAAAATACCCAGTTGTGGCAGGATGCGTGGTCATCGGGCTGGTTTGTGAAGCAACACATTCAACTGTGACTCAGACATATTGTCCCTCCAGGGTAAGGTGGAAGCAGAGTTCCAGCTGCTGACTGTGGAGGAGGCTGACAAAAGTCCTGTTGGCTTGGGCCGAAAAGGGCCTGAACCCCTGGAGAAGCCCAAGTGAGTATATGTATTATCACCTTTAGGTTGAACAGACAGTGTCACGTTCTCAGCAGCTGTTTGTATGGAAACCAGGAGTATTGGCTTGTCTGGAAGCCAAGAGCAATCTCTGACGTCCTGGGCATTGGGGTCTGCAGGATCAGGACTGCCAGAGTTTCCTAGAGTTCAAGTGAGTCCACAGGACCTGAGGCTGCAGCACCTGACCCAGGATTGATCTAAGGGTGATACTCAAGGCAGCTGTGCCATAACATTGCTTGTACAATGGTCAGATCTGTCTATGTGAAGGTGAAATAAACAGGGCAGGAGACTTTCTCTCCTTTTAAAGCCTTTATTAAAAAGTGATCAGCTCAGGATTGGGCAGCTCGGCGGGGCTGCAGTCCCCCGTCGTCTCTCCCACGGCGAGTCAGAGGAGGAGGATATGCACAGCTCTGTCCACTAGGGGCAGAGCTGGGGAATCAGGTCCTTGTGAGAATCTTGAGGGCGTGGTGATCCCATCTGATGTTAGTTTTCCCTGCCCCGTCTCCCTCAGGCTCAGCGCTGGGGACAACTCCCGTGGTCAGGGCGAGGGACTCTGAAGGTGTTCCACATCTCTGCAGGTTCAGCACTCGGCTCCTCACGTCCAGACATCACTTCAGTCTCTCAACTCTTATTTGGCTCGTTGTTTTTGGGGTTTTCCCAGTACGTTTGGAGCCGTAGTCCCCCACAGCATGCTGGTCCTCTGGTCCTGGAGTCACTTTGCATATCCCCCCCCCCCCCCCAGTCTCTTCTCCTCACTGTTCGGGAAGGTCCCCACCCTTCACTGTCCCAGAGAAGGGCCATTACCTCGCCCCAGCCAGGGCTTTTACCGATACAAAAACAACCATTAACAACAACGACCCGTAATTACCATAATACAGGCAGGAGCCCAGCAGTAGTGGTAACTTTTTTCTCACAGAAAAAAATGAATTTTTGTTAATAACAAAGGGATCCCTTGTGTACAAAGGTGAAGGACAGCTGTGGGGGCACTGGGGCACTGTTCCAAAGAGTCCCATCCTTTTGTCTCTAGTGTTTCCACAGGCAGTGTGTTTACTGTAGCCCCTGGGCTGATCCTGCCTGGAAGCAGCAGGAAGAGCTAGTGATTCATGAGGGTAGCAGGACACCAAAGCAGAAGGGCCAACGTGATGTTCTGTAGATTGAGCATGTGCTTATATATTCTTCTCTTCCTGTTCTAGTCGGCCCAAAACAACTTTCAACTGGTTTGTGAATCCCATGAAGACCTTTGCGTTTTTTATCTGGAAGCGGTACAAGAGATACATAATTGTGCTGTTTGTTGTCACTGTTCTGACAATCTTCCTGGTTCTTTTGGTCTACACCATGCCTGGATACATCAGCGAGAAGATCATTAATGGATAAATGCTCTTCAGCAGAGAACTATTCAAGGATGGGTGATTGTGGCAGGAGTCAAGATCAGAAAGCTTGATGAAAACCTGCAGGTGCAGAGACAGCCTAGAGAGACAGAGACCTGCAGAAGTGAGCTTTGTTTTCCTTGTGAATAAAAACTCCTTAGCTACTCTCTCCGATGCTTGCGTTTTTTAGCTGCTTTCTGGAGCTGGGGGACAACCTATTTATTTGTGTGGTACAGGCTGATCCTGGTTCAGCAGTCCTCACTACTGCCCCTTTGCCCTTCTTCCTGAGTAGTACAGCAGCAAGGACTACACTGGGACAACATGGGTTCACGAGTGTGCATCTGTGTTTGGTGTTGGGCTGACGTAAACTAAATGAGAAAATAAATTCATAAATTGTTCTTGGCATGGTTTGTGGTGCATCAGGTTTCCTGTTATCTGCACAGACAAGCCCTGACATGATCTGATCCCAGTGGAGGTATTTCAACCAGGGTTTTGAGAGGACAGATTCCTTCTGAGTAGTGCAGGTGATGCTTAGTGGGACCGCAACTTTTCCAAAGAATTTATCTGACTATGCAGTTTTATAGCAAAGGTGCTTGCATCATGGCCATTTGAATGGGGCAAGAACAGAGTATGTTTTGTGGAGAAAACTGTCTGGGCAGAGCCAGGCAGGTAGATGTGAAGCAGGTGAGGACTCTGGCTGGACATGAACCCAGAAGTCAATGTGTGGCAGACATGATGTTCCCCCAGTGAGTCTAGAGTTCAGCCATGGAGTGGGGACCCCAGAATAGCAAAGAGGGAGGCCTCTCTCCCTCTAGGGGACCTTTGGCCTGCAAGGTGGGGGTGAAACAGGCTGCAAAGGGCTCAGGTCATGCAACACCTGCTTGGGGCTACAGCAAAGCCCTGGGCTGTGACAGTGCTGCATCGCTCCCTGTTTTTCTGCAGGGCCTATTTATTTAGTGGGATGTTGCCTTCATAAATAATGCCTGGTCCTCTCTGGTAGTGCCCAGCGAGCCCCAGCAGCGATTGTTCCATGCAAACAAACTCAGTGCGCTCCAGCACATCCAGTGCACACCTCCAGAGAGCCCTCTTGGCTCTTTCAGCCATGCTCAACCACATTTCCCACCACACCACCTGTTGAAACGCTGGCATTGGTGTCCTTCTCATAGCAGAGAAACCGAGTGGATTTTGGTGTCTTTTTTCTTGTTGGTTCTGCTTTCCCCGAGGTCTGGGCCGGCGCAGTGGCTCCCGCGGCTCCCGCAGCTCCTGGCCGACGGTCTCCTGTCGATTGTCGGATCTCGGACCAAAACGAAGGAGAACAGTTCAGGATAAAATACCGAAAAGCCGCTGGAGGATTCCTGCCGCAGTCTCGCCAGGCCAGGGAAAGGGGGAAAAGGAAACTTGTTGCTTAAGCTAACAAAAAACTCAAGCTACCTAAACAACAAAGTACCACCTAATCTGCCTAGCACCAGCAACACTCCGGAGGCTCCCAAGGCTCTCACACCCCGCCCACTGACTCACCTTAAAGTTACAGCAAACTTTTCTGGGCATAAAGCCAAGACACGCAGGCTTCCTGAAAGTACTTCGTTTTATAATTGCTGCTGTGTGCCTGGGATCTGCAGGTGTGTGTCCGTGTGTACAAAGTGAAAGGAGGGTGAGGCGGTGTCTGTTCAGGGTTTGAGTTTGCGAGCCAAGAGGTTCTGTCCTGCCTTTGCTGCTGGCAGCTGAGTGACCTCAGGCCTCTGCCCCAGACCCCTCCAAGCCCAAATGTGACCATGATTCATACCAGCAATTCCCCTTCCTGGTCAGCACCATGGCTGCCCTGATCTCAGTGTGCAGCCGGTGCAGGAGGACTTCAGGTCACCCACCACCTCTGCTTTCATCAGCTGCGTGGACCACTGCAAGGCTACTGACAACAGCACGGAGAAGAAGAGCAGGGGTGGAATGCTGCAGGGATGCAGCCTAAAGGCACGTGACAGGTTATGGTGGCCAGGGGTGTCAGACTGCAGATGGGTCTAAGGCCTGACATATTTGGTCAGCAATTATGCACGCCGACAAAATAATGTAGAAGAAGAACTTATTGTTAGTTGGTAGGACTAACCTTCAGAAATGCAGCCATGTATTGGTCACCTGGTGGGATTTATCTTGTGAAAGGGAAACAATACAATAAAACTGTTGTTGGCATGGAAGTGTGATCATGGGCTGTTGTGATCTCATCTCATGCATTGACCCCATGTGAGATGATGTTGAAACTGGCCATTCCTGAGGAGGAGATATAGGGTGTGGTCGTGGGGTGGAGAGAGAGGACAACATGATGCACACCATATTGATCCAGGGGACATCCTGAAGGTGTGCTGGCCTACTGCCTCTTCCGCTCAGGAGCCATGCTCTATCTCCTTCTCCTGCTTGGCGGCTTCTCCAACATCCAGGGGTCAGTATGTATTTATTGCTAACACAACAAATAAAATTGACTTGCTTTGCTATTCTAACTGTGTCGCGAGTTTTTTGTGCATGGGAATCTTCCCGAACCCATAACACCAGGTGACAGGCACCTGTTGGCTGAGGACAAGAGCAAGGGGGGAGATGTTTGTACAGGAAACCTGTGCCTAGTACTGGTCCCACACTATGGGTTGAAGAGAGGACAGCTCTCACACGCCCAGGCAAGGTGGCAGACTGAGGGCTGAGGCAGGGTCTTCCACAGCACAGATCTTTGACAAATGTGTGAATGCCGCCAGGAGCAGCCCCAGGGTGTCCAGGATGGATATCTGGACAGCTGGAGCCTCTGGGTGCATTGAGTAACCAGCCTCATCCCAACAGATCTCAGCAGTTTGGGAAGCATGGTGGCAATAAAGGGTGCCAAGCACATGATGCACAGCAGCTGCATCCTAATGCTGGCAGCTCTTGGAGCACCTTGGAGCTGCATATCTCCCACCTTCTGGTAACATACTTCTCATTCAAACCTCCATGCTATGTCCTTCTGCTTCCTGGCCATGTCCTCTTCCCCTGCTGCTGTTCTCCACCCTGTCCACAGTCCCTGCCCTTTCCAGTTCCCAGACTGATGGTGTGTTTGTTGCTCGCATCTTACCATGGTGGAGGACCAGATTGCACTGTGTTGTCTGACAGTGGATGTTGCTGTTGTCCACATGTGATGAAAGGTGTTAGATGACCAGACTGATTATTGTTGTGCCTGAAAGTCATGGACCCCATCTGCATATCTGACCGAGCACAGTGGAACAGTCCAGCCCACACTGGTTCCTCCAGGAGCCAGATCCATGTTCTGGCCATGCTTGGGATGTATCACCCCTTCTTCCTTGGAGGAGTAGTTTGGTAGGTGGCCAGAGGCCAGGATCAACTCAGCTCCCATATCTGCCAGTATTTATCCCCTTTAGTTTTGACCTGAATTGGTGTTGGCCCTAGCAGTTTCTCTTTTCAGCAGTGCTGTGATTCCTTGGCATTGACATCTCCCTGCTAATTGCTGAGAATGCTATCCCTGTATTGTTTATAATTCCAGGTTTTTAGCAGGTCACAGAGTGAAATTTTGGACACGGAGAAGACTGCAGTGTCTACAGTGGCCCTGCTTCTCTGGGCTGCAGGAGACATCTTTCTTCCTGAGGACACTGCAAAGGCAGAGCCCTTTCCTCAGGGACACCTTGCTTGATCTTGAGATCATGGTGAGCAGCACTGCTGGCTCCATGCACAGACCCTGCCCTGGGAAACTGAGACCCCATATGGTGCACCTGCACATGCCTGGGGCCTAGTGCAAAGAATCAGCTGCCTCCATAAGGATGCTTGAGCAGAAGGAGGCATCTTTTGGATCCCTCTCTCAAACTGCCCAGAGATGACCTGCTACCTCAACATCTCCTCTGCACATGAAACCTCCCAGTCTCTCATTTTTGTTCTTCACACCGTTGCCAGGGGCTCTGGGATCAGGTCAGTGGAATTAGTTTTGGTTTATGTCTGATGAAGAAGTTCTCTCCTTCTTTGATTCTTCCAGAATCAACTGCTGCTCTGCAGGGTTCACGGTCTTTGTAAGTGTGATAAGGATTGAGCACACTGGAGCTTGGGAAAGCAAACAAGTGGAGCCAGCACCACAGAGTCTGTGCTGTCCCTAATTCCTCCCACCCATGTTTTATTCTCTGTGTGATCCAGAAAATGTGCTTCATGACAGCCCAGGGCACAGTCCCTGCCCGGCCCCCCAGTAGTGGTGCAGAGGCCCTTTGAGCCTGTAACCAGTAAATACAGACCCTTTGCGTTTTCCAGTGCTGTTCTAGTTTGAGTTTCTAGATCCTTCATCTTTGTGCCAAACTTCCTTGCAAAGCAAAGTGTTGACCTCCCCTTGGACAAAATAATCACTGTTCAGATTGCACTGCTTTTTCACTGTCAGTACTTTTCTAATTGCTGAGCACATTTCACAGTGCTCTGTCCCCTCTGAGCCAAAATTACATCCAGGTGTGCAAGTCCTGGTGAGGTGCTGGATGTACAAGGCTGTTGAGAGCTCTGCGTTGCCGGAGAGCAGCTTCACTCCAGGCAGATTTTCCCACCCAGAGGAATTTCTTAATCATTAAATTCCTGATTTGGCCTTGGGAACCTGACTGGGCTGCATGGAGAGGCTGTGCCAGAATGCCAGAGTGGCAGGCACTAACGAAGAAAGGACAGCAGTTCTGACCTTACTGTATCACCCACAGTTCTCCCCCACAGTGTGGTACAACACTGCCTCTTCCCTTCGCAGTTGCTGCACTTGCAAAAAGCACTGGAGAGGCTACTGAGTCCAGTAGCATCACCTTCGCCCGTTCGTGCTCACTGGAGTGGGTGCTTGCAAGAGTACAAAAGATTAAGTTATAGGAACTTGTGACTGCCAGCAGGGAAAGTCTTTCTTGGGGTCTCTGGTAGCCACCCTGTGGGGAGAAGAGCTGGCATTTCATGGCATCTTCATGCCTGGGAGAACCAACATCTGGTTTTCAGTTGCACTGGCAATGGCTTGTTTGTGCTTCCCCCTTTAATATGGGGTGATGGTTCCTGGGCTTTTAGAAGGGACAGGCTATTAGAAGGAACAGCAGGCTTCAGCCACCTAGGATCATGCAGATTCTTGTTGCTGTTATGTAAGAAATGACATCAGAAGGCTGGTTTGCACAGCATCTCGCTTTACTTCAAATTCTCTCTTTTTATACACTGTTCCAATACAGATAGACCAGATTGGTCAATTATCAATACATTTCACCTGATTGGCTAATTAACAAAATGCCTTTCTTATAAACAATCTTTGAAAAAAACAGGAAAACCGAGAGTAGGAGAACAACACCTGCCAGTTGTTTACAATAAGAAGTTATCATTGTTTATCTCTAACTCCCTAAAGTCTCACAAGCCAATTCTGGGAAAACTTATTTGTCGCAGACAACTTTTATTAAAAATCCTTTCCTTAGGATTTTTCTTCCTGAGAAGCTGAGAGGCCTCAGGAACAAAATGTAAACATTGGTTATCTGCTGCTGTGGAATGCAACAGGTGCATCTGTGATTGGTCTCATAGAGTTGTTTCTAGTTAATGGCCAATCACAGTCAGCTGGCTTGGACTCTCTGAGACAGAAGCTTTTGTTATCATTCTTTGCTATTCTATTCTTAGCTAGCCTTCTGATGAAACCTTCTCTTCTTTTAGTATAGTTTTAATGTAATATATATTATAAAAAACTAAATCAAGCCTTCTGAAACATGGAGTCAGATCCTCGTCTCTTCCCTCATCCAAGAACCCCTGTGAACACGGTCACACTTATCTAGTTTTCTCACTCTCTGACCAGGCTGTCACATCCACAGATTCTCCCACTCTGTTCTGTCTCCTATCTCTGTTGACTGGACCCCATGGACAGCAGTTTTGCTGTCTGGGACGTGTTCTGGGGGTCAGATCTGAGCACAGATCTGAGTCAGCCACCATGGTGAGCAGGGATGTCCATTAGGGCTCTGTTCTCCAGGAGCTGCAGAAAATGGTTTCTATGGAGAAATGGAGCTAGTGCTGACACATAGCAACTGAGGGAGGCACAGGGTGCTACTGTGAGAACATGAGGGATTTTCTAGTAGAGAGGGGATACCTCCACAAACCAGCTGTGTTCTCTTCTGACCCTGGGATGAAGGCTGCTATGAAACTCCGCTCTTGCCTTGGGCCACAGAAGCCAAGTCCTGTGTCACTGAGCACTTAATGAATTCCCTGAGAAATGGAAAACCCTTTTCCCTCTGACCTTAGGCTACATGAGAGCTTTTTGATAGAGAACAGATGTTCTTCCTGGCAATGATTTAATGCCCTTGAAACTGCAGAATCCCAGGACTGCTAGGGTGGGAGCTGAATGGTGCCTGCATGGGCTCAGCAGGGCAGAGAGGTTGTGGGGCTCTTCTGCCCCAGCCTCTCTTCAGGCATGGGGAACAGGGCTCACTGCTAGCATTGTGGACTTGGTAGGTGAATGTACACCACTTAGGATGGGGAAGCTGGTGTTTGACTCATGGCCAGGGTGATGATGCTTTGCTGCTAGTTCACAGGTCAGTTTACAGACCCTACATGTGTTGCATGCAGAGAGAAGTTTCTTGTACAGCACATGCTTCCAGCCAACCCTGTCTGGCCTGAAGTAAATGGTGGCAGTGGCAACAGCAGAACACAGCAATAACATCATTGAACACTTAGAAAAGGAAATTAATATTGGGCTATTTCAGTTCCCTCAGAGTGGATGAGCATCCAAGGGATGTCCTAGGAAGCTGGGCAGAGAGGGTGGGTAAGAAGGCATACTGTGGTGCCACTGGTGTTTGTGACACATCACTGCAGGTGGCTCATGGGCTGCTGTTACAGAGGTACACAAAGGTGGTGCTGGCCCTGTGCTGCTTGTCCTGTGGCATTGTTTCTGAGTCCTCACAGACAGCATTGCTGCTGTTGGTTTCCCTCCCTCCTCCACACCCCTACTGCTCACTGCACCACCCCTACCAACCACACTGCATGGTTCAACACCCACTACAAGGCAGCCATAGGGCCTCTGCTGACAGGTGCACACCACGAGCTCTCCTCAGATGTAGTTCAGTGGTGGCTAATAAGTGAGGCAATGGGCAGGAGCTTGTTGGTCTTCCCAGGCTCCCTGAATCTGTTCACAGTGGGGCAGGGCCAAGACTCCTCTTCATACCCTGCCTCCTGGGCTGTTTTACACCCTTTTCCTAACATCCCATCTGTTTTTGCTGCCCTTTTCCAGGTCTCTGCTAGGAGAAATGGGGCTCTGTCTCCCTTTGGGCTACTGTTGGAGGTGCTAATGCGGCATGTCACTGTGCTTGCTCCCCTAGACCCTGCAGGGTCCCAAGTGATATCCAGCTCCAGGCCATAATTCAGCAGCTCTTCAATGTCTTCTGGGCCCTGACAGTTGATGTGTGGGACTCTTCTCACTTCAGGACTTGTGCAGTGGTGGGAAACTCTGGGCAGCTGAAAGAGTCCAGTCATGGGATGCTAATTGATGCTCATGACTGGGTGCTGAGGTGGGTGACCTAAAGGGACTTGCTCTCTCCCTATCTTCTGAGAACCCTAGCATGCCCCAGTCCCTGTCCATGCTGTTGAAATCTGCCAACACAAACCCTGTGAAGGAGGTGGCTGGCTGACCTGCTTTCCGGAGCCCTGCATCCTGGGACACACAGGCCTTGTGTCACCCATATCCACTCTTTGCTGGCTAGGGTGGCCTGCTGTCCCTGCCTGGTGGGAGCAAGCGCCTGGGAAGATGCACCTTTGTTTTGGGACACACCATCCTGCTGTCCTTTAGGATGAATGGAGCAAAGATCACTGGCTTTGAGCTGGATGTTGGCATGAGAACAACCCATCTCTTCATGTGTTGCATATAGGTAAAGCCTTACAGAATAAGAACCTTGTTGCCATTGTAAAATCATGGATTAGGCCTGCTGCATCAGCTGGGTGCAGCTAACAGCTAGCCTAGCAAGTTACTGTGAGAAAGGAATTTTACCTGTGAAAATAGAGGCTCTAACCGTGAGAATAATTCTGTACCCATGAAACAAGAATGTAAACATCATTAGAGAGGAAAGTTTTTGATGGACACATATACTAGCAACTACTAAGCAATGAACTGATTTGCAGTAAGTTACCAATTAGAATGAAACATGATGCCTTTAGAACTGTGATAAATATGATAAATACGAACTGTGAACAATAAGGATTGGGCTATTGTGCATGAAGAAAAGAAGTGTCTTGTTCATCTCTACAGTGACATTCATGTACCCAGAAGAGTGCAGTGAACCTAAGGCCCGATGTTCACCTTGTCCTTGTTCCCTTCAAACCTCTGGACCTGTAGTAGGTGACCAGTGTCTTCTCCACTTCTCCACTGGAGAACTCACACAGTGTGTCAGCATTGGGGGATGCTGTCTTTTGTGCTGGTAACCCCGTGGATGGTGCAGTGTGATCTGGGGATTCTAGTGCCTCACTGGAGACCTGGCATGAGTCCTGATGGCACAAAAGGTACTGAGCATCCTTCTGCCCTGCACTTTGAGGTAGTTGGGCATTGACATGTCCCCACAGGGCTTAGGCAACCTGCAGTACCATACTCCTATGTGTGGGATGGCAGCTGTGCCCACATTGGGGCCATGAGTTTGATGCGCCCCTTCCTACAGCCAGGCCAGGGGATGCTGCTTGGCCAACTCAAGGGGTGGGACATGCCACTGGGCTGGGTGCTGGGAGACAATGAATATCCTCTGCAAAGAAATGGGTCCCCTCAGCAGTGGGTGTACTACATGATCATTGCTTGCCTCTGCTTTTGCAGCTCATGTGAGAGTTAAACAGTTCAAAGGAACAAGGTAATGGCTCCGTGCACTCCAGCTCCTCAGGGGCAGGCAGAACTCTGTTGGGCAGTGACCCAATGGCTGCACTGTGTTGGGCTGACTGTCCTGTTCCAGCATGAAGAGCACCATATCACTCCACTTCCCACCCAGGTTTTGATCCTGAGCCCAGTTTTCCTCAAGTACATCCGTGACAACTGGACAGAGCATCATGGGTGGGTGATAGTCCTCCACTGGCTTCACAGCCCTGCTCTTTGTCTTGCACACCTGCCATTAGGTGAGCACAGCCAGTGATACCAGATGCTGCCACTGTACCTCCCCTTGCATTGCTTGTCCATATGCTTGTAGGATGCCCCAGTGTCCATACAGCATTGGCTCTGGCTGGCATACACACAGGTCTCCATGTTTGGCTTTAGAGCAGACACTGAAGGGAACTGGCACCTCTACTGGGAAAAAACTCACTGGTCTGGAGCCTTTCGCAGGACGAGAGCCCATGACACTGATGTTGAATTCAGCCTCACTGAGAGACGGGTATATGAAGGCAGGATTGTATTTTAAAACTGATGCATTTCCAAGAAAGTGGAGCCAGCTGTTTGGCCAGGAATGGGCCAAAGGACACTGCCAGCAGCTGTCCTGGCTCTTTAGCTTGGTGCTCCACCCCACCACCTGGGCTTATAGACCCTGCAATTTGTAGGGTTTCAGTACTGCTTGTGCTGGTCCTACCAGCTGGGTACTGTGGGTGCCATTCTCCCATGGCAGTAGCAATGTTGTGTTTAGCTGGACATAGGGTGGGCACAGTTCTGCCCAAGCTGATTGGGAGAGACAAAGGGGAGATGTTGGGGCTAGAAGTGGGCATGGAGCCTGTAAGCTGTTGTGTGTGGCCCAGCAGGACTGTGAAGCCAGTGGTGGGCAGCAGCTGCTCAAATATTGCTGTCCCCATGACAGAGCTGGTATTTCCACCCACAGACGGCTTTTGGGGGAGGTCTGTAGTTGGTCTTAGGAAAGGAAGATGCCCTCCTCACCCTGCCCAGTCTTTTACTAAAACTTTTATTTTTACAGTCCTTAACTAAGGGAATATTTTTAAAATTGCATCAAGGAAGAATAAAAAGGGAAAAAAAATCAAACATGGTGACAGAATCAAATACACTTGAAATGATCTTATGTTGAATAAACTTTGAAAAAACATGAACCACCACTTCCTTTGCTTTTTGACCCCTTACAACTCTGAAAAGGCATCCCTGCAGAACATGACCCCCTTGCAGATCAAGACTGCAGACCCTGGGGACTGAGCTCCCTAAAGAAGGTTTTTGTCCTCCAGAGCAGGATTAGCAGGATTTCTTTTATCACTTTCAGTCACTAACATCCTTGATTCAGACTCAGCTTTATCATGGTTCTTAGTCACTTGGGCTTTCAGTCTATTAAAATCACCAGATCTCTTGGACTCATATCGTCCCTATAGATAGCAGAAGCCTGTATTACTTAACTATTAGCTTCATTAATTTTCTGTCTCTCTAGATAGAATCTCCATTTCAGTGTCTTCGATTTCTTCTCTCCACTATTTCCAGTATCCCATGATGAGTACAAGTATTGCACCTTCACCTTCCCTTCACCTTTCTTTAGGTCCTCAGGTCTGCTGTGGGCAATAATGTCCAATGCTTGTCCAGTTTACAAGCAATTGGCTTTCCTATCAAGGATAAGCCAGTCCTAGATAGGAAACAGTGATGATAACTGTTTCACTGTGGGTTAAACTCTTGCTGCATTACTTCCTTTCATCTTCTCTCTCCTACTATTCCTATAAATTTAGTTACAAAGCTGACATGCACTGATGAGCAATTGAAGCTGTTCAAGTCACTTTTTGATCCTGAGAAACATACAGATACTGTGTTCCATTCCTCATCCTGTAGTAGTACTATGTGATCCTGACCCACTGGATTCATTAAATAGCTTTGTAAAAAATACATTTAAAACAAACCTGCTTTTCAACATTCTTGCTTGAAGATTATAATTTTCCTTACCCACACCACAAATTACTTCCCTCCTCAGCTGAAAAAACAGTTTTTAGACTCTCTGGTTTATAGGTAAGTTCAACTAATTAAAAACCCCAACCATCTAGCAAAACCTGCTTCAAAATAAATTGTAAAACAGCTTTCTCTCTGCAGTATCTGATCCTGCGCCTGTCCAACTGCTTGGACCAATATTAGAGTCATACCAAAGCAAATCCAGATTTGAGATTTAAGAGTAATCGGTCTGTTTTACATCCAATAGGCAAGAATTCACAAATTTTTTTTCCTCATTATTTTCAAATTTCTCCCAATATAGTTTCAGATACCAAGCACTTTACTCATTTGTGTAATCATTTAAAATAAAAAAGCCCCATCATCATCACAATCTCTACATACTTTGCCACAATGCAATGTGTCTTTTAATTCTTATTTCCAATTTAGTATCAGGACTAGTTAAAATAATTTAATTATTCTTCCATATGCCTTACTAGAACAAGAGAGGATGGACTTTATTTGAAAATATATACCAAGGGGAAATAAAAAAAAAATCCAATTAAAAATCAATTAAAATTCTGGACACCTTTTTTTTCTGAAACATCAACTCGCAACTTTCAGAAGATGAACAATTGGGAGCTCCCCCAGCAGAGAAAGTACATCCCAAATGCTTAGGCGCCCCATGCATTCCAGGAGGGCTGGAAGGCAATAGATGGGATTCAGCACATTTTTACAAAGGTCTGACATACAGCATCAGCACACCCAGAAACATTTTATGGAAAAATTAAAAATCCCTGATGGTGTTGCTAGAAAGCTTATTTGATGGCAACTTCAATCCATTACAGGTCTCTTGACAATAAACTACATTATTCCTAGAGGCAAACTGAATGCAGTATCTCCAGCATCTCTGTTGGGAATGGGAACAGAACTGGAGGAACATGGACTGACACAAAAGAGTGTGACAGTAGGGCCTGCAGAGCCAGATATGATAGCTAATCTTTATATAGCAGCAAGGCTCAAGTTGTTCCATCCACAAACTAAGGCCAAAGAATCAGGGCATATGAGTGGTTGGGGCCATGTGGAAGTTCCAAACCTCTTCTCCTGTGCACTCTCAGAAGACCACTTGTGCTTCAAAGAGCCTGTTCAGTTCTCCTTGGAGGCTGGAGGGGGTTACTTTTTCTTGTTTGTTTTTGTTTGTCTGTTTGTTTGGTTTTGGTTTGTTTGTTTTTAAATGGGTTGATGCCATTGCTTATTTATGTTGTCTTCCCAAGTTCAATTTTCTTCTGGATGGCACGTGCTGAGTGATAGATCAAGGAGTCAATGAAACCGGCAACTAAAAGAAAAAACCAAAGGGATGAAGTCAGACATGCCTCAAAGACAGAACAACTCCCAAAGACAGAAAACACAAACCCTGCTGTCAGAGGAAAGGAATACCACGTCCATTAGACAGAAAAAGGTTCTGCTGCTGCTGTTGCCGCTCAGAGCAGTAAAGTCCTCATCTCCTCAGGACAGATAAGACCCACCCTACAGGACAGAGGTGATCATGCTTCTCTAGAAAAGATCCCTTTTCCAGAAATAAAAGAGACAGGCTGCATCACGCATGTTTACTGATGACTGAGAAGAGTTTGGAGAGGAAGCTGATTGATGTGCTTTACGCCACTTGTTGCCTTGATTCAGCATGCAAAGGCCTTGTTTCCCATTTCTTGCTCATTTCACATCAACTCTAAAAGTACCATATGCTGGCCTTGAAGGATGCCCTTTATTGGAGATAGCAATGTACACCTACCAGACACAAAACAATACAAACCACTACCTTTAATTCTTTCTGCAGTATTTTCCTCAAACCTCTCCAGCCCTGAAGAAGTCTATTAATTCAGTGTTTGTTTGTGACCACAGAAAAACTCAGAGCGGCCTACTGTACCACAAACCCCAGACAACCAAGGTTTTCACAGGATAGGAACCTTGAGTTCCTGCCAGGGAAGGAACACAAAGGTTGCTAGGGAGCTATTTTTCAATGATTAAGTTTTATAAAGCTTCATATTCTTTCTTTTATTCAAAACTTCAATCAAAGGAATAAGTAAATGATTACCTGGCTGTATACAAAGACATTTCAATATGATACAAAGCATTGCAGCTAAAATGGGAATTGAATCCTCTTTTTATTATTACATAATATGATATTCTTGGATTTAATATTTGGTCTGTCATGCTTCAGATAACTCTTGTGTGGTTGTTTTGCCCTGAAATTATCTCTATTTCTGGAATCAATTTGATATGGTTACATGAACACGGAGGTGACTTTAGAATAGCACAGAATCATCTAGGTTGGAAAAGATGTCTAATGTCATAGAGTCCAATTGCCCCCAGCTCTGCCAAGCCCACCACTATAGCATGTCTTTAAGTGTCACATCTACACATCTTTTAGATTCCCCCAAGAAGGATGACTCTACCACTGCTCTGGGCAGACAACCCTTTCCATGACAAATTTTTTTTTCTAATATCCAATCTAAACTTCCCCTGGTGCAACTTGAGGCCATTTGCTTTCATCCTGTCCCTGTCAGAAGAAGAGACTGACCCTCATCTGGCTCCAACCTCCTTTCACATAGTTGTAGAGAGCAAGAAGGTCCCTCTTGAGCTTCTTTTTCTGCAGGCTGAGCACCCCCACCTGCTCAAACCTATGTTCCTGCTCCTTCCACAGCTCCATTCTGTTCTCTGGACTCGCTGCAGCACCTCAATGTCTTGCTTGTCATGAAGGGTCCAGAACTGAACCCAGGATTCAAGGTACATCACCAGTATGCAGTGGGGGACAGTCACTGCTGCCCTGGTCCTGTTGGCCACGCTATTGCTGGCACAAGTAATTTACCTTATTGACCACTAGCTGATTTGATCTCTAGAATACAGAGAGTCTGAGCATGGTGCATGGCAGAAACATGAATTGGCTGTCAAACCCAGTCAGTGCTAACGGGCACTCGAATTTGTCATGAAAGTAATTTCTGAATGACTTTTCAATTCAGAGATGAATAGGATAAAATTTATTGCAGACAGAAATTCTGTTTAACAGTATCAGGTTAATTGAGCACTGTGACACCTCAGATGATGGGAATCTTGCAGATAAAGGTATGATGTTATATACATAATTGATACAGATGTTATGTGACACAGAAACTGGTTTCTCAGGTCCCTGACCACATCTTCAGGCTGGCCCTCAACACCCACATGTCTGACTATGAGCACTCTGGATTACTACCTGGAGAGCACGGCTGCATCAAGGCTGCTCCCATGCACAGAGCTGAGCAGATACTGATTAGCTATTCCAGATGCCAGTACTGAGAGTGAAGTGCAGATACTCAGATGTATTTGCAGGAACCTCTGAACCTCTTCTCGAAAGACCCCATCTAGTCCTTGCAGAATACTAGCTGGAGGTCCTATGTCTCGGAGCAGTTTGATGTCTCTCAGATATATATTATGCCCATGGCAACCTGGGTTCACTGGTTGAACCCAGTTAACTGACGTTGATTCCACATGAAAACAAGTATCTACTTACGGACCCAAGCTGGCCAAGAATGCAAGTACAGACACTTTCATATGGTCTGTGAAGAACAGCTTTGTTAGAAAACAAAATGTCCTGTAGAGCATCAAAATGAAATATTATGACAGGTCTACAGGTCTAATTAAATGAAATGCTGTAATAGGTCTACATTATCTACAGCATCTTGTAAGCCTCCAGTACTAGCTACAGTCTGATGCCACTCCTGCGGCTCTGCAGAACATGTATCACTTCCCAAGGGCTGAAATAACCTCTCTTAATCAAACAAAGATTTATTACTAGACATGAAGACTTTAGAAAGCATAAGATAGTAAATATTTACACTTTAGAAAGCAAAATGATTGAAAGGTGCAATACCTGTAAATATGCCTCCAACAATGGCACAAACTCCAGTGAGAAAGTGAGTAAAGGACCTAGAATTTGAACAACCAACATGAGCTCAGATACCAATGTCAGGTATGTAACAATTAACTTATAATTCTAATAATATTCATCACACCATATAAGTATGCATTCCCTAAATAGTCATAGCTAACAATTCTCAAATTAAGGAATTAATTAACCCCTACTGGCTACAGAATGGAGTTTGTCACTGCTACTTTTAGTCATCAGCACTAAAAGAAGTACTGAATTTATAAACTTGAAAGATGGCTTTCAATCCCTAAGACATTCCTACCCAGTGAGAATGCACAGGAGGGTCATGCAACACACTAATTAAATCCTAAGCACACATTAATACATTTTAAGATATAGACATTTTCTGCCCCTCATTATGAACCTCAAAGACTGGACAGCTACAACCCCTTCCCTTTCCCTGCAGCTGCATTGCCAGCCATTAACCCAGAGAGAAGAGGAGGTTCCACACTGGCTGGAAGATGTAGAAAAGTGATAGCAAATTCAGACTAAGGAACCAGTTGGACTATGTGGGTGCTGCTGGTAAAATGGGTATGCTATGTAAATCTAATCTTCCCATTAGAAGTCGGAACCAAGAACCATTATATCACACTTCTGCTCCTTGCACCACTTTCCTTTCCCATCTTGATACACAGCAACAGATAAAACCCAGACCACAGTTCACACAGAGAGGAAGGGCACCGGTAAGCACCTCTTCCTTTTCACTGGCTGGGAAGGGGCTTGGATGAATTTCAGGCATTTGCACTATCATGTTTAAATGACAATGAAGTTTCGAGCTATGCAAAATTACAAAATCAATCAAGAATGAACAAAATAGAATGAAATGTCTCTTACCTGTGCTTCTCTGTCAGCTTCACCATCATGGGTGAAAGCTCATACAGCACAAAGACACCAGGCAGACCCTGGTCTCCCAGTAGCCCATTTGCTATTTTCTCATGTCGTGTAACTGAGAACTGGTTAGTTCTTACCACCTACCAGGAAACAAACACAGCAAACATTATTTTGCCAACAGGGAATAGGAAAGGCTACTAAAACATGCGTTAAGTGAACCACATCAGTGTGGCCCTGCCCATGTGGGCAACCTGACAGTGGTTAGAAAGAGTTGAAGAGCTCTATCAGAGCTCTATCAGGAACAGGTATTTGCTATCAGGTCTATTTTTACTATAGGCTACCAGTTAAAGCTGCAGCTAGCCCATAGTATGAAGGAAGCATAACATCCAGGCTGGACTATTTGGTCTCTGCTTGCACACAATAGCATAAGCTGTCCCTCTCAACCCTGAGTCTATGTCACCCTCTGCAGGACCAAAATGCAGTCCTGCCAAGCATGCTTCAGGAGACAGCACTGATAGCAAAAGGCCATAAATAATCAAGAGTGAGAAAAAGGAAAATAATATATAGAGGCAGGAGATCAGAGAAAGACAGAGACAGCCTGTCTTCACATAAATTAAGATCAACCTTCAGCATTCTTCTGTGCCCTGCCATTTCTCTACATGTTGTTCATACTAGCCCTATTCTTGGAGCAATTAAACTGTGTTTCTGTAAAATAAAATTATGTTCTATCATCCCTACTAAGTTATCTGACACAAATTACAATCCAAGTGGAGAAAGATCCTATCCAGGTTTCTTTACCGAATTCCACACTTGGGGTTTCCAAGTACTGAATGTACAATATAGCCCCTGGTATACATCTGGCAACACATCTGGATCCACAGTTACTGTCAGCATCAAGAATATGAGAAGAAAGTGAAGGCTTCCACTTGTCAAAGTAGCAGGGAAAAAGTACTTACTTCACCATCTACTTTCCTATACACAGTGGGGACCACTTTGACAAAATATTGAAACATCATAGAAGCTATAAGCAAAGAAAGGGAGAGACACAATTAATATAAAGCCATAAGCTGGAAGCTTTTCATTGACAGGTCAGTGTAGACACAAACTACTTTTGTTCAGCTTGTCAGGGAACATCTTTCTGCACAACAGCTGCTGGAGGTTTTCAAGGACAGTAAAGTAAATGTCTCAAATGTGTCTTCCTTTTGCCAAAGTGAATTTCATTTCTGCTCCAACCAAAACCAAAACTCATGGCATTTTGGCCTTGAATAAATAGAAAAACTATTTCTACAAATTTGCTATAGCTTTACCAGTAAAACTTCTTGCAAATTCAATTCTAGTCCAGAAAAATATCTTAACAACATAGCCCTAAGAAAACTTCCTCAGATCTAAATGAGTATCTCATATCAACTTCAATTAACATTGCAGTTTATTCTTGTAGAAGCATGGCATTTATTGTATCAGAAGATGAAAAGGAAGATCTGGACCAGTGAAGAAAAAATAGAAGAATCCCTTCTGTTGCCCCAGACCAGCCTGTTCCTTCAGTTCTCTTAAGGATAACACAATGCAAGAAAAAAGCTATTTTCTATGCAATTCCCTAGAGAAGACTATCCATCCATTTCTACAGCAGAAGTAATTCTTGCATATGGTATATTTAGCTGCAATAAATATAAATTTGACCTGCAATCTACTGCTTCTACTTCTTTACTGGAGCATCTCTTCAGAACAAATTCTTCAAGAATTTACCAACTGAGGTAAATTTCCCTGAGGCTCAGGATGAAAAGCTTGAGCTTATGCAGAAATTTACCAGTCAGCTACAGGTCCTCCCTCTCAGATAGTTTGTTACTTCATAGAATAACTACAGCATCATAATCATACTGAACATTATGATATCTTTTAATTTTTGTACTTTTTTTCAAGCACCATCCTCTGATTTGGGTACAAGGATCAAAATCAATGGTAGAAAACTTTAAAGAACAGATTCAGGTAGGACTAACAATCCTATCACCACTTCAAAGCAAATTACTTCTTTCTCCAAGCTTTATTACATACAGTTCCAATTACCTTCAAAGGAAAACTATTCAGACTTCAGTGTATCTAAAAAAAAAAAACCCTCTGCAATGGCATGTAAAGGACCTTTCATAGAAAAGCAGGCTTGTGGAAATAAACTTAAGTACAGTAGCAGCAGGAAGAAAAAATTGTCTCACAAGCCAGCAAATCTGGAGCTATCAAGATCAGCAATATTTCAACTTCACTGCAGCTTTTCAAGCTCTTACTGTTGGGTATGTCAAGATCAGGCAGACACCATAGCTCTCCCGCAACTACCAATTAGGCCTTTTTTGTCTACCTTGCATCTTCTCGTTCTCTCTCACAGTAAGCAGTAGTTAGACAGGGCTCTCCTTGAACTATATCTGAGGTAGGCCTTTAATAATGATACACTGTACCTGCTGTTGTGCATTCACGAATGCTGAAAAGATACCTTTCAGAAAGGTCACAGAATCCAAACATGTTGGCAGACTTCTTCCAGGCGAATGGAGACAGCCGCTCCAGAATGAGCAAAAGGTGGAGGAGTCATATTTCACATAACACTGTCAGGGTTTTTGTTGAAACTGAGAACTTTGCGCCTGTTCTCTTCTAACACTTATTAATACAGACACTTAAAAAGAGACTTCTTTCAGCTGTCTTTTACCTTGCTGTGCAGTGATGGCTGTCCCATCCAGAGGGTTCACAATGCCTGGATAATCCCTTCCAAATGAGAGATGTTTGATATAGTGCGTCATATTGATCTGAAATGGAAATGCTAATAACTCAAATAGCTGCACAGCACATGAGGGGTAAGGTATGGGGCCTGAAGGTCGTAATTGGTATATTTTTCTGAGCCTGGCTCTAGAACAGAGACAGGTGCTCCTTTTCTCCATGCATCCCAACAGTAAACTCCAAAACATTTACTCTTTTTCTTTATTCATTGGAGATTTCAAGACAAGGAATTTCTCCTTCTCCTGCTTGAAATCTACAGATCTCAGTGCCCTTTCCTCCCATCTACAGAGCAGGCTCTCCCACCCACTCCTCTCCCTGCAATAGGAGCACATACTATCAGCTGCCTTGGAGGAATAAGTATGAGCATTGTCTGCTTTCCTCCCAGCACAAGGTAAACTCCAACAGATCCAGAAGCAGCTCTGACAATATTAACCACAAGAAACTGTGAAGCATAGATTAAGGAAAAAGGCAGGCTCAGGAAGAGAAGCACAGGCTTGCCAAGCAGCATGCAAATGTCATAGAATGTATTTCAGAACCCTCTGTGAAAGAAGGACCCAGGTTTTGCTTAGACCCATAAAGCCAAATCTGCAGCAATCTAGGATCTCAATGTGGCAATGGGAGGGAAATCCAGAAGGAAAATAGACTAAAAGAACTGTAACACTGCCGTAGAAACACTTACATTATCAAGTCCAAAGCTCTGCAGATCATGAACTGTAATAGAAAAATAGTTAACAATATATCTCACATTGTCATAGCAATAATATCTCTCTCCCATATTCTAGCAATAAGGCAGCTCCTTTTATTTCCATCACAATCTAAAATAGCAAGAAAATTGTCTGGGCTTCTCTCTTGCTTGCATAGTAGGGTGTGTGACAGATAAAACTGCTGTAATACCCCTCCTTACACAGCGCCACCACTAGAATAAAAGAAAATAAATTTAATTTGGGGTTACTTCAGCTTAGGTATTCAATCCTCACCTGCATGTATTCTTCATCTAGGGCAAAAAAAGACCCCAGAGGTCAGAAAAGAAAGCTTTGCTGTTAGCTACACATAACTTCTCTCACTACTGTAAAACACAGAGGCACAACAGATCTAAACTAACACATGAGCAGAGCACATGCTTTAATATAACATGCAAGTGCCCTTAAAAATAACCATCATCTTAGTAACTCTCAGCACTCTGCCTATCAGCCTTGCTACTGCTGCCCAGAGAACATACTAGGAAAGGAAAAGTCTTTGCAGGAATGGTCTGAGCAGGGTATTTACAAACCACTAGTAGGACCACAGTGACTGTCACCAGTGTTGGGATTTGGGGAATTTGGCCTGCATCTCTGCCCTTCCCACACGTAGCAATGTGACAATGCTGGCAGCACCACACACCCCTAGAAGGGATCTGGCAGAGATATGGTATGGGGATTTTTGAAGGAGTTTTGAATGAGTTAGAGACAATACCTCTGAGTTTTTTTAGATTATGCAATTTATTTTTCTTATCTTCTACATAGGCAGGAAGGGTGAGTTTGGCTCACATCTTCCCTGCATGGCTCAGAAGGTCACAAGACCTCTAGTTACAAGACTTTTTAAGAATTTATTGACCAATAAAACACTACCAACAAGGATATTTATGTTTTTGACCCAATCCTTAAATATTTTGTCTTATGGACTCATGCTACAGTGTAAACTTTATTAGCCAATCATGTTATGTATGACAAAAATCTACAGTACTGCATTCTAAACCTCTTGTTTACCTTTGTAACTACTTTTATTTTTTCTGTATCTTAAACTCCAAAACTCTAAACTGTCTTCTATTTAGCTTAACATGTCTCTGCTTTAAACTATAAATCCACATTCTCGCTCCCAGCACCTAAGTTTGGAAACCTTTTCCAGGGTCTCAGATCAAATCCTGTATTTAATTCTAACCTTCGGCTTACAGGCCCAAAATTCTGAGAGTTCCCTGCATTTTGGATTCCAACATCTTCCCATTCTTTTTGTACTAAGAATACTCTTTTGATGGCTTAGTCAATTATCTTTCGTGCAGTGGAGTAGGTAAGGTACTGCTATAAGTATAACTATGATGACAATCAATATATACATGCTTATCTTTAAAATCTGTGGGAGGCAATGGTTATCTTCTAGTTTGCTACTTAAATGACTTTATGCAATACCAGGAGCATCAGTCTCAGGATGAAAATCTAAATTGCAACTCCATTTCAGTATCACTCCCACCAGGTTTATCCAAAGTCATACAATGAATTCAAAGAAGCCAGAGTCTGTGGCCATTTTAACAGGCAAATTCATGCGCTCAGAAAGGCAGACTTCACCTTTCAATTTAGCAAAGTAAAACACAGTTCAATAATCGTGGGCTATTACCTTAGGAACTAATGGAGTCAGATCACCAAGTGTTGCTACATTATTAACAATGATTAGAAATGCTGCTCCCTTGAGAGCCTAGCACAAGAGACAAGTTGCTGTGTTGATTTGGCACAGCCAGGTTTTTGGTAGTGAGGGAGGGCCACAGGAGTAGTTTCTGTGAGAAGCTGCTAAAAGCTTCCACCATGTCCAGCAGAGCCAATCTCTGATGGCTCTGAAGATGGACATGCTGTTGGCCCAATTAGAGAGGCTGGTAATGCCTTTGTGATGGCACAGTTAAGAAAAATTGAAACGCGCATGCGCAGTTTTCTCCTGGGGTGGTGAGGCGCCACGGCTGCTGCTGTCCTGGCGCAGCGCGTGGCAAGCCTCTACTGCCTGGCCAACCCCAGCCAGCCGTGGCGTGGGAAGAAGGGCAGCGGCAGCAGCCTCTCCTTCCCAGGCCCCGCAGGAAGAGAGGGGTTAAATAGTGCGGGGCCGTGGTGGCCGTCACTGCCCGCTTGGTGGTGGCGGGGCCGCGTGGCCAGCAGCAGAAACACGGTGAGAGACTCTCTGGCACAGAACCTCGATGAGATTGACCTCTCAGAGCTGCGGGATCCTGTAGGAATCTTTGAATTAGCAGAACTCGTTATCAAAAGCACCTATGAGCACCAGTTTTACTTGCAGTCACAGAAGAGGAGGAGGTGGGCACATGTGAGGGACAACAACAGGGCAACATCAAGGTCAGTGGAAAAAGAGGGGGACGAGGTGCTCCAAGTGTTAAAGCCAAGATTCCTCTGCAAGCCATGATGAGGACTATGGTGAAACAAACTGTCCCCTGTGAGGCACGAAGTATCCACTCACAGCCCATGGGAAAAGTGCTTCTGTCAGAGTGGGTGGATACCAGAGAAAGCTGTGATCCAGTGGGAGACCCAAATAGAGAGAGAGAACCCCTGCCTCCAGAGATAGAGGGCCCTTGCTTCCAAACTCAGACAGACTATCCTTAGGGGACTGCACCCCATGGACAAGTGACACGCCACAATAGTTTTTGGAAGACTGTTTCTCCGTGGGAGGGATTCATGCTACAGCAGAAGAAAGACTGTTCCCTGAGCAACAAGAAAAAGATCTTGGGTGACGAACTGATCAAAACCAACATGTCCTGTCTCCCTGCACTGTCAGTGGGAAAGAGGGAACAGCTGGGGGCAGAAAAAGATGGTTTAAAGTCTTATTTTACTTCTCATTATCTTCCTCTGACTCTGTTAATAAGAAACGTACTTTATACCTTTAAATTTGAACCTGTTTTGCCCTTAAGAGTGTTTTCTCTCAGTCCTCATCTCACGACTCAGGAGCCCTTAGTTTTTTCCCCCCTTTCTGCCCAGCTGAGAGCAAGAGAGGGAGAGCATATAACTTTCATGGGTGCCTGGTGTTTGGCCAGTAGCAAACCACAACAGCTGCAAAGCTAAAGATCTGATTTGAACTAGCCTCTCCTTTAAAACATCTACTTAAGTGTGCTGTGAACTCTTTTTTTCAATTAACGTTTTTCAGTAAACCACCAGAAGCTGTACTTTTATTTATATAAAACCCTTACTAAACCTAAAGAGATAGGCATGAAAAATAGAGAATGTACAGTTAGAAAAGGAAATGCTAAAGTACACTCCTCCTAAGCCTCTGATGAAGGGAGAGGTCCTCTTGCAGCTAAATGCCCAGAGACTAGGTTGCTGTACTTGGAATTAAGTCAATGGGTCTGCATTTCAAAGAGCTCAGAGATGCACTGGCTTCAGATATTCCTTTTGCTATCTCTGACTGGAGTGCAGACCTGTCACTGTGACTAGCACAGTGATAGCACGCAGGTTTGTGTTCCTGTGCTGACAACTGTATGAATAAACTTTAAAAAAGAAATTCCTAGTAAAAATTTGGAAGTATATGTGATGGTGGGCAGGGGAAAGAAAGAAAGGAGAAGTGGCCTTGGCATTATGCTCTGTTATTCTTAACAGTTACCAGCAACACCAGGCTGTTTCATGTTGCACTTATTATGTGCACTTAAGTCAAGAGTTCAGTGCCTTAGCTGCCAGTGAAGTGTCAAGTCTTGCTGCCTTTTGTACAGACACTAGCTGGCTAACCTTCAGTTATAACAAAGTTCCACAGAGATCCTGGCTCTGATGGGTCTGCATTTAAACTGGACCTACGTGAAGATCCTTGTGGGTCCCTTCTATCTCAGAATATTCTATGATTCCATACCACCAAAGGAATAAAACTTTCTTTGTCCCACCATCATTTGGTCCCTCAGCTCATTCCTATCCCACCCACCTTTCAGTCATGAGCCATCTCAGACTCTGTAAAAGGCTGAAATGCAAGTCTTGCTTTATCTGAGGCTATTCTTCTAGTCAGAACAGCTCCAAAGTAAGGTTAATTCCACAGCTGCACTGACACAGTGATGCACAGGGAGGGAGAGGGATGATCCTTGTGGTAGCTGTGCTCCTAGAACCCTTTGAAGGATTATGATGTTTGTCAGATTTATCACCTGGGTAGTCACATGTGTTGGTACATGTGAAGCTGTATTGAGGACTAGTGAGCATGACAAAACTTACAGGAACAGCACAGTACCAAAGAAATCCCAGGGCATCACTTGAGAAGGACCAGACATTAACTAACATGTTACACTAGATTTACATTGTGTGTGACCCCTATTATTAGTTATGGCTACTGAAAAAAAAAATGTCCCCAGAGTGCTCTGCTATGCTTTCCACAACTAAGTAGTTTTTATAAAACTTCCCTCCAATAAGTGATTTACAACTCTGCAGTAGAGCTGTTCAGTTTCTAAAAGTCTTCCACCATCCTGCAGGTTTATTTTTCCTTGATCACCGATGATTATTCTAAGCACATATGTACATACTCTACGTTGCAGATACACATTTAGCTTAACATAAACCAGCAGGCTATTAAGCCTGCTAAGATAAGGAACAGGACAAGGAAAGAGAACAGAAGATCTTTAAAAGACAGTCTGCTAGGACCAAAGAGTCTTATTTCTGAAGAAACAAGCACATTTTTTTCATTTCCTTAACCACATCTAACAGGTAAAATAAAGATACCTGTTAAACATCTTAAGTTTGTCAAGAACTCTGTCTGCTTTATAGAACCAAGATTTGTTCATGGTTTTAGTAACACAGTTTTAACTAATGCTGTCTATCTGAAGAATTCTCCCCATCCTGCATTTCTGACCTGGACAATCACAAAGCTTCCTTGGACTTCACAAAACTCAGTTCTTAACCCCTAAAAGAGGATTAACAGCACTTACAGCCATTCAGGACTCTGTCAATAAACATGTGAAGGTTCCAAAAAACCGAAGACTGCCACCCAAACACATTGCT